GGAAACTTCATCAGGTACGAAGAGGAAATGAGACGCATCTTCTCTTGTCACAAAGATAAGAGGACAGATGTGCGACAGGACAGTGAGGAGCAGGACGCCTGAGGTGTATGTCTGCGCTTCACTCTGCATGTCACACGTGTGTAGTGAATAGACTGGCAGTACCGCGCAGGCTCCGCTTAGAGTTGGCTGATCGTGTCCCCAAATGCCCCCATTAATTCTTCCGGCTGGCTCCTTTGCTGAGGGCTGGTGAAAAGCTGTGAAGAAGTTATCCTAATCTAATTTCCGTATTGCTAATGTCAACCTTTTCCTTAAGCCTTTTTTGTCCAATGTCCACATCAATTTCAAATTCTTGGCTATAGGCGACATAGGCGGTGTTGCATCATTCACTTATGGTACATGAGGCTGCCAGACCTATTTTGTTCTATGGAAAAGTGTGAATGCAGGTGTATGCAGCAGTGCAGTCCTTTCCAGTCTGCAGCCTGACTGCTTTTGTCATCTTAAAGGTACATTGCTTTGCACCACTGTCTGCTGCCATGTTCCATAAGGACCTCACATCCCTTTGACATTTATTGACCTAAAAACCTCTCATTGAAAAAATAGCCTACGAGATATAAGCTGATCTTGACCCAAATCTAAACTGCAACTTAATTTTCTTAATGATTAATGAAACACTGTGCTGTTGGCTCTACCTGGTATTATGATGTGGTCACAGGTTCAGCACCACACAAAGGCTACTGAACTAGACATGATGTGGCATGAAGTATGACAAGCTCTGATCAGACTGGGGTCAGACAGGACACCAGTATAATCTAAACCCTGCTTCTCTAAGTAAAATGCTTGCTTGTGCAATATAGTGAAATGACTATCATTCTTCCTAACAGAAGAACTTATGTAGAACCCAAGCTATTCATCTTTGTATATTTTATTTAATTCAAAATAATTCAAGCCTCAACTAACAATACTTGAACTTAAACGTTTGAATTTATTGGGGGTTTTCTGTGAAAAAGTCTCTAAAGATGAGAACTACTAAAATGTATTGTGTATTTATTTTGGGAAAACTTGTCATGCATGGTGCCACTTGAGCACAGATGAGAGATTCTTTTCCATGTTTTTTTTTCTTTTCTTAAGTCCTAGAGCCAGATGTTAATCTAAATTATCTAGTATAAATAAGGCAGCTTAACAGATATTGTGCATTATTCTAGCTGGTACAGCTCAGACTTCATACATTACTCATTGGACCTCATCAATAGCTTTCTTCTTTGCCCTTTGAAATTAATGCCTGAGCTGATGGTTCTAAAATTGCATTTAGGCACTGACAAAGTGGCCTTAATGAAGCCTTAAAAAATACTTGAAAGATTTTTTTACTAAATATTTTGGGCTTCATAAATACACAGCTTAGAAAGAAAGGCTTCAGCCGTAGGATCATCCCTTAATTAGGACGCTGAATAGTTCTGTCTTGTTTGGTGCTATGATAATTTCAGCTGCTCATAACTTTGCTGTTGATAAAAATGACAAACCTTTGTGCTTTAAACGTAGCAGACATGAGCTTGAGTAATTAAAGAGCTGTGTAAGAATGAGTGAGTGGTAATATAGCTCTGAGAAGTGGTCCTGCTTCGTCCATTTATTAACCAAAATCATCCCTTCTACAGCCTGATCTACTAGTTCTTGTGGAAGTGCTTGTGAAGCTGTTATAAGTGGTCATGGTTAAGAGTGCAATGCAGCTGCCTGCAAGCTATTTTGCACATTTATATAGGCCTAATATTACAGTAAACACGAGTGAACACATGCAATGACAGATGAAAACATGACAAGTTGTTCCAGATATTCCATTATTTTAATGTGTAAATGTAAATGTTAATGAAATTTGATGATTTATAAACAGTTCCAGTATTGACCATCTCTACAACCACGTATCATGTACTTGCTATGGGTCATCCATGTGTCTGTGATAGTTATTCTGTCTGCACTCTGCCCTGTAGACTTCAGGTGGAACAAAATAACATTATTGGTAGAAGAACTTGTTGATGTTAAGCCACTTATTTTATTTTAACCAATGCCTTTAGTGCATGAAAGCACATGATTGGGTATGTATAGCTGCTTAGTCATATGTGTGCTTTAGGGGAGCGTATAAAGTATAATTTAAGCACAATTTATTTTAGCTGGAAAAATGTTCATTCATTTAAAAAAAAATGTTGGGCAGTATGAAGCTTATATACGAATATGAAATTTTAAGATGTATATGAAGTTAAAATAGCACTTATTGTAAATAAAATTATAAAATGAATCCATTCCCCTAACAAGGGCCATTAAAAATTTGGAATAAGCACTTTAATTGCTTTGCTTAAGCTAGACTTGATCTGTTAAGGGACCATGTCAGTTTAAGTTTTTGGCATGATGGGACAATCATCACTCCAGTATCAACATTACAGTCTTGTAAATTTCAGATCATTGAATTCTTCATGTTAAACCTGTGGCTTACTTGGAGCCTCTTGCTGAATGCACATCATTCATAATATTATACAGATATGTCATGTTATTATAATTTGAAGACAAATTAAATCGTAAAGTATCCAGATAAAACTCATTATGGTGACAGTGATGAGTCGTTTGTTTACTGCGGTGTTAACATTCAAAGCGAGCTCGGTGAACGGGCCATGTCAGGCCGATCGTCTGTTCTGTTGCCTTGGCAACAGCACACATTTCATTTTTAAAGCTGTGAGGTGAAGTGAGGACACACAGGACAGACATCAAGTCCAGATAGTTTATACATGTTTCATGGGAGATTCTACACCCCATGTTTCTGAACTATCATACCTTATTCACCTTTGTGCTTATTTCATCCCTTTCACTTTTAAGATCTTAAATGAAGAGCACACTGCAGCAAAAAAAAAAAAAAAAAAAAAAAAAAAAAAGAAAAGAAAGAAAAAAGAAAAACGAGAAGACAAGAGGAAAAAGCACTTTACCAGTGTGGGCTTTCCGATCACCTAAGTCTAAAGAATTTTATTACATATTTCAAGAGAAATATTTTAATGTGCATACGTTTTTTTTCTTTCTGCAATATAAATGATGCTCTGCAATGTGTCCCAGCCCAGTCACAACAACTGTCTTGTAGTTTCTGTTCAACAGTTTTACCTCACATACCACAATGACATGCAGTCCTCATGAAGTCATAGCCAGCAAACAATGTAACAGATGTAAATATAAAGGTGTTCTTCACATGGTAACCTCTGCTGACATAGTTAAACTTTTTCCACTTAGTTAAACTGTTTTCACACAATGGAGAAAATTAAAAAAGGGCTGAGTTGTTATTTTAACCTATTTCCTGTGCAATATGCATATTTTCAAAACAATTAATTACATTAATTTTAATTATTTGTAATATTTTTTTTAATTATACATTTTTTTGTTTTAATAACAAACAAGTAATTCCAGGTCAAAAATATTCATTGTAAAGGTTAAGAATATAGAATACTGTGCAAGAGTCCTCGGTAAGCTTTAATGAATTGCTCTGGTTTTGTCAGTGTATGAAGGTGCACTGACTTACAAAGTAATTCTGCAGCATACACCAGGCCAAGGTATTTTCTTAATGGGAAATACTTTCTTCTCTGAATCTTTCCTGGACGTTTTGGGTTTGTAATTGTATGGTCTGTATTATCCATTCAATCCTAGGTGAGGTAGCTTTCTAATGGTATAATGAATTGTCTTTCCAGAGACAAGATAATAAAAAAATGAACCACCAGTCTTCTGGTAGATGGGCTAAAGTCTATATTCTAAACAGTATACATACTTTTATATTAACATCTAGTTCTTTTGCACAGTATTGTATAAAACCTGGGCTTACACCTCTCATTTGTAAAATAAAGCGTTAAACTGTAAATCATGCCTCAGTGAAAAATATAATTTTTGGTACATTTACAGGTTTTGTCCTAAGCATTCAACAGCAGGAAAGCTCCTGATACTGTCAATGAGGTTGCACTGTCAGCACAGCGCACTTGAAGAGGCCTGAAGTGGTTGGACTGTAAATGAACACAAGGAAAGAAATCTGGATTGTTTCCAACCCTGACGCCTTAAAGCACTTTTGCAGACTGTATATTTTCATTCATGTGCTCTGTTTTAGCAGTTATCTTGTTCAAGCTAATTATAACTGCTCCTCATTGACCTGGATGCCACAGCTGGGTCTGGGATGACAATAACTTTTACAAAGTCCAACTGTAAATCTTTGTGTTTGTGATGTGAATGTAAACTAACAAAATATCATGTTTTTTTTTTTTTTGCTGTTGTTGTTTTTTTTTTTTTTTTTTTTTATATATATTTTTTTTAAGTTTTGAAATATTATAATTTAAAAAGAGCTGAAATGAAAACAGAAATGTGAAAAGGTGTATAAATACATAAATGTAATGTAATACATCGGTGTGTCCTATTAGTCCTCTAGAGTAAGGCTAAAAAAGAAAGTTTTGTACGGTAGCACTTTCTTTAATGTAAACTGTATTTGTTCATCTTCTACATGTAAAGTACTGTATGGATATTCATAACTTGCCTTGTACTGTTTGAAACTAATTTTAGAAATGGCAACCAGAAAACTAAGTTTTAGAGTGTGTGCATGCCTAGGGATGGGTCCCATATACTTAAATATATAGGAATATATAAAAAATGGTGCTACATTACATAAAGGTGCTTCTATGGACCCCAGCTGAATGCATGCAAAGAGGAAGAAAAAAGACAACATTGATGTCCTATTGCTGTTCCCATATAGTGCTGCTTTCCAAAGATGTCGGAAATGTTAACGTTTCAACTTGTATTAAAATGCTCAGTTCATTCCCTAAAACCCGAAATCTTGGTCTGAAAAGGTGGATTTCAGGATTGCCACAAATAAGCACATGACCATTCTTTCAAATTCATCACAAGGAAGTGGCATTTTAACACAAGCTGGAAACATATGTAATAGTGGTGGTCCATTTCAAATAACTTAAGAGCTATATCACTTCAATATAATGGGTGATTTTATATTAACTTTAGAAATTTCCAACATCTGTAACCAATGAGAAGGACAGGATATGTCTCCATAGTCTTAAAGAAAGTACCAGTGTTTTTTCCATAAATTGACAATATCGGACAATTTTGAGTGAAATTGTAAGTCATCATTGGACATGCCATCGACTAAAGAATCAAATCCAACATCACTGCCTTTTTGAGAAAGGTCTAAAGATCTATAGACAATCTAATCACTTTGCACTCATGGTTCTTCAAATGTTTATGTGTTCAATATTTTATGTGGAAGAGTTAATGGTAAAGAAACTATTTAGTAAATGGTCAATGTTGTATGAGTTTGGAGACAATTGCACTGATTGTTGGATTATAAAGACATAAAGACAGAAAATGTTCATTGTAGTACTGGTTGTCATTATTTTTGGTTGTTCATTAAATATTTCATAGGATTACACAAGGCCTTTTTCTTATTACTTCTTTCCTACTTTATTGTTTGTGTTAATTCAAATATTTGATTGACATTCCATAGGCCTATATGCATAATAATATTGATATTCTAATATTTGAATAACAAAAATCTTATTTGTGGTAAATCAAATAGTGTTCAACACCTTTAGATCTGGTCAAAAATACTAATTGCATAATAATGATTCAGAATTTCCTACGAAAAATCATAGAGGTGTCCAGGGAACGTCACGTTCGAGTAAACCCCATTTTATACAGTCTATGGCAGACCCCCAGGGGATGGCGCTATAGTCTCTGCACAGTGTTAAAAGCGCAGAAGAAGGAGGAGGACAGGAGGAAATAAAAACAAAGAAAAGAAAAAAAAAGCACTTTTGTCAGGAAAGGCATAAAGCATCCAGCGCTTCTACACTTTTATTAATCACAGAGCTTTCTCGAGCATCCGGCTAGTGTCTACTCAAACTTGAAAGTCTGGTTTGTACTGGTTTTGTAGAGTCAAAAGGATTTCCTGACTACTCCTGCAGCGTGGACTTTTTATTTTTGCTAAACAACAGTTTTTTACCATCTGCTGACAAAGCAAACGTGAAATGAATTGTGAAATCAGTTAAAACAGACGACAGAAGACCTTCATTTTGGTAAGGTGTGGGCTGTCAATCTCGTTGTATTATCAGACTGCAAAAACTAACAACTGTGATAATGAAATTAGGAATGGAGCGTTATTTACAGTCATGGTTATGTAGACAACCACAACATGAAACCTAATTATTTTTGCTTATTAAATGCGCTGTTTTTCCACAGCTTTAGAGGGCTAAGGCCGAGTAAGAATACCCATATAAAAACATACATTAAAATACAATGTTTGTATGTAACTAATATTTATTATTATTTGAGCTTAGGAGATTTTATTTAAGTGTTCGATTCATATGAAGTGAAATGTCACGTGCCATGCTTTCAGTGTGTTCATTGTGTTTTCCACAAAATCATCTTTTCAAGAGTTCGTTAATCCAGTGTTTTTTTGTTTGTTTTTTTTGTTTGTTTTGGCATATTTTAGATAAACTTTATTCACTGAACTGACCCTTTTTGTATTGTAATGTCAACACAGACAATATGCAATGATTTATGAGCTAGAAGTTTTAGTGTTTTCTATCACTGAATGACTTTTGTGTCAGGTGATGTAACCTGTGACAATCGAAGTCTGATCTATCATGGAAGACGACAGCCGACCACTGCTGGCTTCAGAGCAGACGGGAGAGAACTCTCTTCGGGGCTCTACAGACTCTTTGGACATAAAAGTCAAGAGGTGGGTCCTGATGACACATCTCTGATTATTAAACACTTCATACAGTTAGTGTTTTCATGTGTCTCTAAAGGAAAAGGCCATTGAGAGATTGGCCTCTAAACAGTATTTTATAGAAATTCTGGGTATTTACTGCTTATGAAATTATTATATATCATTTTATTATGAATTTCCTTCAGGATAAATAAAGTATCTATCTGTGTATCTATCTATGTATCTATTTATTGACACAATGAGGGTCTGATAGTATGTGAGGCAACAAGCATATGTAAACAGAGCTACTTTTCATTTGTTTTTCTTGTACTGGTCGTCCTTAAATTATTCATATTACAAACAAGAATTGTGAAGTGGAAACAATTTTACTTGCCCAGGCCTTAGTCTGTGTGGGGGCATTTTGTCATGAACAGTGTGTGAGCTTCCAGGAAGTGACAAGCAAATACCAAAACGTCTACTGTGTATGTGTGCTTTAGCACCATGCAGTCATGTTAGCATTTCTGTGTTTTAATCCAGTTAGGTATTTCACAGTACCCAACAAGGAATTTTTCACATAATGCATTATGAAGTTCACACTCACAAGCTGCATTTGAAGCCTTATGAACTGTAAATAAATCTAATGTAAATTCATGCAGACCGTTCCACGTGGAGCCCAGAAACATTGTAGGTGATGACCCGCAGGAGAGAGTGTCTGCTGAAGCTGCCATTCTCAATAGTCGAGTGCATTACTACAGCAAACTTACTGGCTCGTCTGACAGACTCCTGGTCAGTGCCTCTCTCAGCTCTCAGTAAACATCTCTAAACATGCCCAGTATAAAGCCATATGTCCACTATAACTGTATTGCGTATTAGCACACACATCAGTGCCAAAAAGCACAAAATGTGGCATTTTAAACACAACTGTCAATGCTGTATTATACAGTTTGCATATTACTATGTTCTGTCTTCCGTGTTTTTGTCCTTGACTGTTGTCTGACACATATGTTGACACTTAAGTTTGATAATTATATCTGATCATTTATATATATGGGGATCAGTGTCATCATATTTCCTTTATATATTAGTCAGTGAAGTCAATATTAGTCAATATAATTTTGACTTTTTCCTACTACTTTTCCTTTCCTACACTGCAAATCCTGCACCATTTAATATGATGAAACTAATATATTGTGCAAATAAACACAATGAAATAAAATGCACAAAATTAATTAAGGACATACGATATAGAACATGGTATACATTTTATAAATGTATTTGTATTTTTTATACATATTTTTATTCATATTTATTATGTACATGTTTTTGCCTTTCTAGAGTCCTCCAAATCATGTGATCCCACGACCAGAAGAAATTTACATCTACAGCCCTCTTGGGACTGCCTTTAAGGTGACCAGCAGTGACCAGTCATCTAAAAACCCTAGTATAATCACTATGTACGTTTTACTTTTAACAAAAGGGAATCGTCAGCTTTATACTGTGTTCATTGTTTTAAAAAAGCTTTCATTATGCTTTTTCTTCCTAGATTTGCTATATGGAACACAATGATGGGTACTTCCATACTTAGTATACCATGGGGCATAAAACAGGTCAAGATACAAGATACTTGTCCTAGTGAAATTTCTGCAATACTGTACTGTGATACAAATTTTAAATATATTTGTTTGCTGTCACCAGGCTGGTTTCACTATGGGGATCCTTATTCTCATCTTCACCGGTCTGCTCTTGCTGTACTGCTGTTACATTGTGCTTAAATCACCAAAGTTTATTCGTAAGTTCAATCGTGTTTATTTTCCACCAGCCATTTCATCTTATTGTTAAAGTCATATTTTATAACTATACATCTGTGCTCTTAATATTTATTTTATTTTACTGAAAACGGACTTAACTTGCTTTACTGAAAACTGTTATTGTGGTTATGTAAACGGTACATATTTCATAATTCATATTAATGGAATCCATCTAACAAGATAGAAGAAGCATATGAATGTAACAGTCTTGGTTTCCACACCATTATGCTCACATAGTGTTGTTGGCAGGAATGCACTTTTTCCACATGGTTAGTCTCATTTACTTTGTATTCTTTGGTATTATAATGCTCTTTTTAATTTACAGCTTATATGGATACATCGGATTGGGAATTCCCTGATGTCTGTCGATATTACTTTGGGAAGTTTGGCCAATGGTCCAGTCTTTTGTTTTCAATGGTTTCTCTAATAGGAGCCATGGTGGTCTACTGGGTTCTTATGTCCAATTTTCTCTTTAACAGTGGGCAGTTTATCTACAGTAAGTGACAGCATTAGTCCCACTGCACATTCTTTCTACTGAATCAGTGTTATAAATGTTTAAATTTGTTCTTTTTCTAGACTATGTTCACAATGTCAGTGTGTCAGACAATGAATTTGGAACAAATGGTTCAGACAGAGGTGAAGACCTAAATGTTTTTCTTTGTACAAATATTGAATATTATATGATGTACCTAATTTTACAAAATCTATATTTCTTTGCAGTAATCTGCCCATTCCCGAATTATCCTGACTCAAATTCTAGCTCATTGATTGTGGACCAAAACTCAAACAACAGTTCTGGTGACATCTCTTTTACACATTGGTGGAGCAAGACCCATACCATCCCTCTGTACCTAATTGTGCTCCTGCTGCCACTGCTCTGTTTTCGTTCTGCTTCATTTTTTGCAAGATTTACTTTTTTGGGTAAAACCTTGTGTATAAAGTCATATGTGGATACTCTATAGTTTTAAATGTGTCATAATTCTGAAAAATGTTATTTAGGCACCATCTCTGTCCTCTACCTCATTACACTTGTCACTTACAAAGCTTGCCGTCTTGGCTTTCACTTGGAGTTCCACTGGTTTGATCACACACAGTTTTTTGTTCCAGGTAAATACTTCACCATTTATTTTCTCATTATATTTACACAGGGCTGTCTAGAGCCCTTGATCTCTAAAAATTCAATGAAATATATTTTTTTTGTCCTTCCAGAGTTTAGACTACAATTTCCTCAACTGACTGGTGTTCTCACACTAGCTTTTTTTATTCACAACTGTATCATCACTTTAATGAAAAGCAACAAAAACCAAGAAAACAACGTGAGTGACATTGACCAATTTACTTGAATATTGTTTGTGCATACTGTACATAGGTCATCTGTGCTTTTTATTTTAGGTTCGAGACCTTTCTGTGGCCTACCTCCTGGTTGGCCTGACCTACCTTTATGTGGGGGTTTTGATCTTTTCTGCTTTTCCCTCTCCACCTTTAACCAAAGAATGCATTGAACCGGTACAAAGTACACCTCATTTACTATACATTGTTTATTTAGGCTGATGATTACAAGCACGCTTACAAAAACTATGTCTGCTTATTTTCTCTAGAACTTTCTAGATAATTTCCCCAGCAACGATGTGATGGTGTTTGTAGCTCGGGCATTTCTGTTATTTCAAATGATAACAGTATACCCCCTTCTGGGGTATCTAGTGCGTGTTCAAGTGATGAGTCAGTTCTTTGGAAACAACTATCCCAGGTAACACTGGAACACAGAAATTATTTTAAAGTTACAAGCCATCTGCACACTGATTCTCTTCCATTCTTTAAGCTGTGCATTTTATACATTGTTTTATATAAATGTGTTTAATTTTAACCTGATAACACTGTAATAGGTATGTATTATATTTTCATTTTTTCCAGTTTCTTTCATGTTCTATTGCTGAACATATTGATTGTTGGAGCTGGGGTCCTTACGGCGATGTTTTATCCCAATATTGGCTCTATCATAAGGTAATCTTAGGGTATTTACATTTAAACAGTCTAAAGACCTCCCCAATGAAATCATAAAAGGATAAAATTGTCTGAAAGAGTGCATTTTCAGGGGCCTGTGCTCAATACAAGAGTTCATTGTCTTGTTTAGGTGTTTGATTTTCAACAAAACAGTGAAAGTTTTAAAGTTTATAGATTTTAACTGAAAAACTACTTGCTAGCTTGTGACTATCTGAGAGAGTGACTTGTGTAACAGCACAAATCAGCTCACCTGATGTGAGGCTATGTCACTTTCTGGTCAGACTATGTTAAAACAACATACTGTATATATAGATAGACACATAGGAAGTTGGCAGGGAGGCACTTCCGGCTCCTTCTGAGCCTCTCTCCAGTTGGATTGGATATATTGGAATATTGTCACCCCTCTTTCTGTAACTGCTGTGGTGAGTCTCGTTATTTTAGTCTTAAAATGTTCGTATTAACCCCCTTTGTGTGATCCTGGTGTTTTGATTTTGTTATTTTTTTGGTTAAAAAAATCACATTCCTAAATTATGAAGATTGGTGCCAAATTCCGCTACCATCGCGAGCTTCATTTAACTGGAGGCAAATGCTGTGGGTGATGTCACACTCGCTTAGTCCTCTTCTTTTATACAGTCTATGGTTAAAACAAAGCTGAGGTTGAAGTCTAACCTGAGTAACAGAGCCTCAGACAGAGAAGTGCCTGTAGTTAGCATCACACCCTTAAGGGAATGTGATGAGCTGCAAGGTATCAGTTGTGACGTGTGTTTTCTCTGTAGATTTTCTGGTGCCACATGCGGTCTGGCTTTGGTGTTCATCTTCCCTGCTTTGGTCCACATGATCTCGCTTCATCGTCAAGGAGCACTCACCTGGCTCTCTGCCATCTTCCACAGTTTTTTGATTCTGCTGGGAATAGCAAACCTTCTGGCTCAGTTTTTCATGTAGACCCCCAGGCTCTTAGAGGCTGATTAAAGGATTAGACTTACCAGATACACTTAAGTGGTTGGGCAACATTTATGTTAAAGGTCATGTTTAGGGATGAAAAACTGCTTGGAAATCTAGAATCTCATCATTTGAACATCTGCTTTTCTCCTCAGTACACCTCAGTGTCTATAGTGTTTTTATCAATATATATCAATAATTAACTCTTACATACTGATGAATTTTAGTGCAATGTAAGATTTTTGGAATCACAAACACTATGCATTTTACAGACTAGCCAATTATATCAAAGTTGTCTTTTAGTAATGCTCAAAAACACATTGATGAGAAGCAGTATAGTGTGTATGCTGCTTTTATTTACAATGATAATTTATCCGTCACAGCAAATATAATGTATATTCTTGTTGTAATGCACAAAGCCATTTGTATGCTTATGGTATACAGGCAATTGCTCTTCTCTCCTAATTATGTTTTATGCTGTCTGGCTGTTATGTTTACACTTACACTGTTTGTATTTAATATGTTATTTTTTAGTATTTTATCAAAACATTTTACTAATGTTAGGATAGACAAAGGGACTATGGATTTCAAAATGGACTCATATCTATTAAATAGACCAATTTATATGGTGTTGGTTTAACGTTCAGTTAAAATAATATGGAACAATAATGGTAATTTCGAGACGAGTCTTTAAGTTGCATTACATTTACTGTGTGTTGATATCTTTCACCTCTGTTTAATCCAATGCCAATAAAACCATTATAAAATATATTTAAACAGAATACGGTTTTATGTTCAATTATGGCCACCAGAGGGCGATCGAAAAATATTCTTTTACCTCACAACCTCGCATCAGTCGACAGTTACCTGCAAAGCCAAAGTGCTTGATTAGTGGTAATAAAGTTAATTATTCATCTTCCGATGCGGCTAACTTACAAGTAATGCCAACAATCAGGTAAGTGGCAGCAGCTTTAAAAATACTGATTGAATTAACAAAATCCGTTTTGAAAATATAGAATATATGCGTGTTGGTCTGAACAGGATTCAGTTTGTCTTTTTCTATTTGAGCATGTCATGGTAGGCTACATATTATGTACACTATATACATTTATGTTGAACCTGTTTTCAAGCACGTGTTGTAATCTATGAGAAGTACATCTCTAACATACATCCCGTCCAAACAAAGGACCAAGAAAATAAAGTGAAAAGGCTGACAAGGTAATCAATATGCAGGTCCCTAATTCAGGGGGTCTGACAGGAAGTGCTCTCTGGCAGATACCATTACTGGTATTAATTCTGTCTGAGGATTGGAAAGGGTCACACTGGTGTCAGTATTCAGTGTGGCAGCGACCTGACCTCTTTGCCTGTCCTCATCTTATTTAAGCACGTGCACTGTCCTGCGAGCCTATTATAGAGGTGTGTTTGGGGGCTGGGGGACTTAAGACTTTATGGTTGGTCTGGGGGCTTTTTGTCACATTTATACGCTCTCTGATAAACTTAGAGTGTGGACATTTGATTACACTTTTTTAAAATTCTTAGATAACTGAAGAAACCTTTGTATTCTGTATAAATCCAACTTGCACATAATTCATAATTAATAGAGCTATTAATAAAGTGTGAATTTGAATATGCGCCCACTTATTGAGCAAGTGAAGCATCTCTAAGTGTTTGTATGTATTTTAAGTTCATTATTATTCATGCACATTATTACACTAATAACTTGAAAGGAGTAGAGCACAATGGCTGCAGTCTCCTGGGGCAGATCATATGTCTGCTTCTCTGGCTCCTTCCCCTTGACAAAAAACACACCCTATAGTACCAGCAGCACAATGGGGAGTGGTGCTAGAGGGGTGGCTGTAGCCATAGCCTGTCTGTGATTCGCTGACATGGATTCTAATTGGATCAAGTCGGAACTTGCTTAGCTGGATGCTTTGTGCATGGATTGAGAGAAGTCTGCAATGAGAGTATGGCAGTAGACAGGAAAGGAGGAAGAGCAGCACTGAGGGAGGAGGCAGCAGAGGCTGTCCTGCACACCACTTTGAGAGTAAGAGAGAGGAGGAGTGAGCTCTAGAAAAGGGGAGTATCCTGTCTGCCCTTCAGTGCTGCTGCAGCCCTCCCGCCCTCCTCTTCCTCACTCTACATGCTCTTTTTTCTTTCTCCTTACTCATCTGTTTCTGTGGCTGGTGCTGTGTGGACGGGCACCTGCCTATCCCTGATGATTCAGCCTTTCTGTTGCCTGGAGCTCCACAGACAAGACAGCATGTCCCTCGTGCCACTGCAGTGCTTGGCCCTCCTGTCCTCTACACCACAGCAACCGCAGCCTCTGCAGCTGGTCCGCCCCACATCCTTGCTCCAAGTTCCCAGGTGAGTAACAGACTGCTGTCCCACCACTCAAGTGCAGTATACAATGCTTTATTGACTTCTAATTTCGTTTTTTTCTGCTCTTTATCTGCAGCATTTATGACATATCTATTTTTAGGCGCATGCTTTTTTCTTAAAAAAACGCACGAATAAGGATCGCCTTTTCCAATATTTAAAAGGCTCCCTGGGTGTTTCTGTTGACAAGATCAGGGCATTGAGTCTAAACAACGTTTCAAACTTTTTTCACAAATCCCAGCTAATAATCATGGAAGCAGCACTGGATGATGGCCGGCCACAGTGCGATGCTTTGAGTTAATATTTTTAGAGTTACTTGAGCCTTCCCACTGTGGTGCCGGGAAGGATGACTGAGGGAATGGAGGACATCAGTGCCGGGACGGTGCCCCCAACCAGTTCAATGGTTGACACCGGACAAGTCCCAGAGGAGAAAGAGGAGACTGGGGCAGCTGATGAGGCTGAAGAGGGAACTGATAAGGAAACTGCGCAGGAGGGCGATTCTGGACAGGACGAGGAGCAGGTAGAGGAGCAGCGAGAGGAGCAGAGAGGGGAGAGGGCTGGAGCCCCGGCCTTGCCTGTGACCTGCTGTGTATGTGTACAAATGGAGCAGATTAACAACTGCCTTCACTCTGAGAAAATCTGCATCCTGCCCATCCTGGCCTGTCTGCTTAGCTTAGCCCTCTGTACAGCTGGCCTCAAGTGGGTCTTTGTGGATAAGATCTTTGAGTATGAACCACCCACACACTTGGACCCTAAACGTATTGGACAAGACCCTTTCGTTATATCAGCTGATCCCACCATGGGATTGACTTTGCCCCCTCCACATTTGCCTTGGTCGACACGCTCTCCATCCAGTGCTGTCCCCATCACCTCTGGGCGTCCTGAAGTCTTGGTGGAGGACAAATTTACTCAGCGGCCGTCTGTGCCTCTCTCTCCTAAAGTGACACAGAGTGACTCCTCAGTGACACTGAAATATAATGCCGAAAAAACCACCCCTGGAAAGCAGACCCCCAGTGCTCAAACCACCCAGGGGTTAAACAGCAATGACATCCCAACTATATGTAAGTACCACTCTCCTTATGCCCTTCAAACCATTCATATACTGCAGTTATTATAAGATAAGTGTCCTGTCAAACCTTGAAGGGTGTTTTTTGTGATATTCAAAGGGAAGCATATCATCATCACATACTAAAAAATAGTCTAGTCCTTTTCCTTATTGATTTTGTAAATGCATTTGAGCATTGTTTTAGGAAGTGTCAGCTTTCAAGATTTGCCTGAAGCAGACATGCTGTGACTTGCACTGTGTAGTCAAGGTTGGTGACTAAACCACTAAAAAATTACACTGAAGCCAGTAGTACTCATTACACAAAACGTATCTCCTCAGGGGATGGATTATCATCGTCAAAGAAAGTATGATGTGTACAACTTGCAGGTTTCAAAAATTATAATAGCCCCTCTTATGTATTCAAATTACCGCATGGTTCCAGTCATAAGAAAAAGTGAAAATCAATAAATGATGCATGAACAAAACTGAAACTCGGGTTGTGGTACAGGGAGACTTCCTGTTGGGGCCTGATCTCCATTTCAAGGTCAGATTGGCTGGAGGCTAATTGATGTCGTCCATCCCACAGCCGCTAACACAGTCCACTGTCTGCGGCGGCTCACCACTGTCATGTCCCTGTTGTAGTCACATCTGTGCTGATTTACGTCTCCATAAGTGAGTTAGCTCATAAGGTGCTGCTAAAATGGTAAATCTCCACATGACTTCCGGTATTATGCTACAGGTCTGTGGCAAACATAAATATAAGAAAGACAGTTTTTCTACAGGTGACTCTCATGACAATGTCAGTGTGCACGTGCCCCAGGAAAAAATCTGACGTGCTCATGTACTTGTTCTGACTGGTTTTAATGATGTGTACTTTAGGCCTGTGGATACACCGCAACACCCTGTCCCTGTTGATTACTCACTTTTGCCAATACTTAACTGCCATATTGTTCAGTGAAATAATATTAACATCAATATATCTGTTTAAACTTTCAGATATAAATGGAAAGGTATACTATATTACTTAACTTCAACATGGGCAAAAGTGAGATAATATCCATATAGGATTCTTATGCCACAGTTTTTTACATTAGGTTGGCTGGCAAGAGCACTGATTGCACAGCTTCATGATGAATGATCTAAGAAGTTGTAAAATATTACAATTATTACAACTATTAAAAGATTTTACTCACAAGTAGAGTACTATATATGTCAACCAAATGGATGGTTGCAATAGAGGTAAAAGATTAATATTCATATCCAAGAAATTATATTCTACTTCAGACATTCAGTTTTTTCTGTGTTGATGGTAATGAATGAGCAAAGGAACCTGCCTGTGCATACACTCTATATATTGAACTTTTAGCTACTTTATATCTGTCTTTATATTTAAGTTGATTACAAACTAGGAAATGACAGGGATGATTATTTATTCTGTATCGATATCACATTACATTTATACCTGCACCAATAATATTAATTTGCCATGATACAATAATTGGCAGAGGTTGAGGCATTTTGTCAGCACAGCCTGACTCAGTATTCAGGAGTTTCTGTGAGCTCTAAACAGTATTTTTCCGAGTGTAAGATCACAGTGTTTGAGGTGTTTCCTGGGAGGCTGTTGCATCAGGTCAAAGCCCTCTTTGTTCTCTGTGAACCTCAGCTCTCTCAGTCACTGATGTGATTACAGGATGAGTCAACATAATAGTTAGGTTACACTGATGATATCGGTCGCTGTCATCTGTGTTTACATATTTTCTATTTACATCACATTATGATGCCTTGAAGAAGTGCAGTGTCTCTCCCAGAGATACTTTTATTTTAAGACACATTTATGTAACATAACAATTTTATCTTGAAATCAAATTGTGAATGTACTGTTTTAGGGAAAAAAGTTTGGGGGCTGCATAGATGGTTGGCCAAGTGAATGGCGCACTTGATCCTCTCCCTCTAGTGGCTGTTTGAGCCATTAGGCCTCAGGAGCAGAGGGTGTGTCTCACCACAGATCAATAGGATGCCATATTCAGGCACAGTCGTACTGTGTCTAACTGTAATAGTCCTTTGAACATTTTTCTGTGTCTTAAAGATTTGTTCTTTCGGTGCTCATTTAATTAAATATTGCACTTGAACAGGAAGTTTACAGATGTTTTAATTGAATAACAGTGATGCTTTCTTTTTGGATATTGTGTGTCATTTAAAAAGTCTAAAATTAATATTATAGAAAGAGATCAATATCAGTACTGTAACCAATAGTCAGAAACCTCTCACTTATTTCAGACTAATTGTGGTTTTAGATCTTGGGTTTAACTTTAAAAAGCTGTCATCTGTGGTGACTCTCCTAAGTCATGCTCAGATGAATTTGTGCTGGTGCAGTGCATCACGATTTGTCCTTGGTAACGCGTGAGAGAAACTCCATCCACTGCAGTAGACTGATGCATCTGCAAATATCAGCAGAGAAAGGGAGGCCTGCTGGCTCCTCTCCAGCCCTGTATTACTGTTCAATAGGCTAATGTTTCTGATGCTCCAGACTAAAGGAATCTGTATTCCCTTTTGCACTGTCAAAAGTATAATAAAGACAGAAACAACTGTACAATACTCATGCTGAGTCACTGTCATACAGTTATAGAGTTGGCTGTAACTATACCTGGCTGGCTAGATGCTGTCTTCATATGACTGGTGCATGCTTCTTGTTGATCTCTACAATAGACTTTTACTGTTTAAGTTCTTCATTGTCAGTGTGCCATGAGTTTCCATTAACATTTAGGTTTATTGCAGGGATATGAATGGCATGTTGATTGTCTGCAATAACCACACTCTCATCTCAGGAAGAGGCAATCTCTGGTTTCTGCTTTTTGTAGTTGTCATGAAGTGAAATATTCAGTTCTTCCTGCCCTCCACATAAGACAACTATTTGAATTTCTGTTTTACTTGGGTGATGACATTGTTTACAGATACACAACAGTCCTTAACCTGCCTTATGTGAGATTTGTTTGAGGTTCAAATGCTTAGTATGTAATCTTTGTATTTGTTGACAGTGTTTATAGGCTTTTATGTTACACTAATGATGGGTGTCTTTTACAGCAACCACCAGCACCACCACAACATTAAAGACCTCCAGTCATGTGACCCGCTGCAGCGACAGCCAGAAAAACTACTGCGTAAACGGAGGCGAATGCTTCACCCTCGAAATCATGCCTGGCAGCACCAAGTTCCTCTGCAGGTGGGGCTACTGTACAAGGTTTATGGGTCTATTATCTTTCGTCGCCTTCAGTCTTTAATTTTACTGTTTGAATAAACGTAACAATGTTTTGTTGGTGATCTTATGGAATTTCATAAAGGTTTTTATCATTTATCATTGAATTTATCATTTAATGTGATGGTTCTTAAAATTTTCACACCACTGAAGAAATTAACCGGGCTTCCAAGAACCGCAAGATCTAAGCCAGGTTCAGAATAATTCTAGACCAAAGTAGTTCTTAACAGGAAGTAACCCAAAGGAAGACAAAAGCATAATAAAATGGTCTTTAAATTAAACAAACAAAAAAAAACAACCCTAACAGCAGAAGAAGAAGAAGCCTGCGTGGCCCCAGTGATACTCATTCCACGGATTGAGAACCTTCGATCAATAGATTCAGAGACAGGTTTAAATGAATTTTCATGTATGGTGTAGCTATGGAGCAATCTAATGAAGGTGCAGAAGTTCTTTTGAGGACAGCAGAAGCGTAGGGCAGTGATCTGATTAGTAAAGGCACGTCCATACACAAGGTTACAGTCCAGTAAGTCCAGGTCTTTTAATTTCACTTTTTGATATCTCATTCCTGGATGTCTCAAAATGTTCATCAATTAAAAGGTTACAATGAAATTAAAATGCATATGACAGGTTGGAATACATTATATAAAATGTTATATTTAATTTAAAAATACCATTCCTTGTATTTCTTTAATTCAAAGTTTTGATGAAATTTATAGCAGCTGAAAGAAAAATGTGTTCCTCTTTGAATGGAACCCCTCTACCTATGTCATTAGTGTGTTTTAGAATTTCTTTCTGTATTTTTGACTACATTTTTTTCACACATTCCCTCTTGACCAGTGTAAAACTATAATAAATATTTACGGCAGTTATATCATGCCAAACTAAGTAATAGTCATAAAAACCCTGAAAACCTCTCATATGCACATTAAGTAACAGGCCAATATTAATTCATGCTTCATACCTGTCCCATTCGCAGTATTAAGCATTGTTACAAAAGATGACTATTTCCACTGCTGTTTATATGTTTCCTTTTCTACCCACCAACCAGGTGCTTGGCAGGCTTCACTGGGCACCGATGTGAGCGCGCTGTGCTTAAGAGAGTCTCAAATCCAAACGTATGTGAACCCTGATCTTAGTCCCACATGTCATTACTGGTGTTTCACCTCTCTCATGTTTCTGACAAAGAAAGAGGGAAAATCGGACTTTCCCCTTAATAACTTTGAATCGGCTGTCCAGTTCTATCTTAGTTGGTAATGGGTATCTTTACTTTACTGAAATTTGCATGTACATTGCATTTCATCACATTACTGCCACCAGTCTCTCAGGCTCAGGTTGGTTTGTCCTGTGCACAGGTAACATCATCGCCTCCCTTTAGCTTCATTTTCATTAACTTAGGACATATCATAACAATAACTCCATGCATATCATAGTTGTTATCTACAGGAGTGTTGAACCTATGGGAAACGGGAGACCCTGGTAATCACTGGTTGGGCTGCCGTCATTTTAAACATAGAGCTGTTTCATACATTGTGTGTCCTTATGGAAGAGCCATAACTTCATTCAATACAGCAACCATTAATATTGTCTTGAGTGGCCAAGTGTGTACATGCACATCTCACTGTTGTGAAGAAGACATTCGACCCAATTGGGCTTCTTTCAAAACAACTGCAAATTGTCCTTTTGTGACTAGACACTTTGGTCTAGCTGACCTGTTCTGCCAACACCAGTGATGACTATTGTGGGTCATTTACAGCTTCTATGGACTAATCTGGTCTGTTCTGTCTCCCTCTCTCCTCTTGTTTCTTGTTTCTGTTTCTACATAGGTGTCCCAATGAATTCACTGGTGATCGATGCCAAAACTATGTAATGGCCAGCTTTTACAGTATGTTATCTTCCTCTTTTTCCATTAACTCTTCTTTATTAAAAGCATGGTAGTTGTGGTATGTGGTTTTGTTTCTTCATTTTCTGTATCCTGCACATTTGTTTGGGTGTTGCAATGTTTTGTGTATTTTCAACATATTTTAAAATATATGCTCACCTGTTTTTTAAATTGGCGTGCTCCAATCCTTTATTATTAAGCTGTGTATCCTAGTTCCTCTACCAAAATGTGGAAGATGATTTTCATTGTGAAAAAAATTAAGTAGTATATGAGTAATCATGAACCCTTTCTTGTGTCACAAAGGCTTTAGGCCTTTTAAACAACTATCAAAATCTGTTAAATAAAAAATAAGGAAAGAAAAATTTGCTATATCCACACAATGGTCCCAGCAACGTCAAAAGGTAGGAAATTGTAGGGAATTAAACTGCAACAGTGCATTGACATAATCCTGCAATGTGCCCAGATCTCGATTCTGAGTCAGAGAAGGTCATATTCCGAATGCAGGAGCCATTTTGGCCCTGTTGTGACCTTGATTGTGAGGCAAAGGAAATGACTGTGTGGGTGTTAGGTTACTGTATCTATATTAAGTTTTCATATGATGATGTAAAGCTCCCCTGTACATTGACCAAAGCTAAGAAAAAACCTGCTGATACCTCGATTTCCGTGGAATTGCTCCATCAGCAATATTGGCTGCCCTTCTTCTCTTTAAGCATTGATTTTGGCTATAGATTTATTTTAGACTTTTTAGTGAAGATGGGTGTGTCTGTAGTAGTTCTCCTTGATCAGTGTAGTCTTATTTATCAAGTCATCAGCAGCGGTACGTAACTTCTACTTGTAGAGACCTGGTTTGTTATAACACTGAGGGTGTACTGTTAAGGTGCATATCAGGTACATTTTATGGGATATGTGCTGTTTAGGCATAGATTTGTCTATTGTGGTGACTATTTTGTTGTAAAAGACAGTCCTTTAACACTCACCTGTAATATACAAAATACTCTATTGAGGACTAAAACTCGTCTTGTGTCCCTGAGCAAAGCAGATTATTTTTATGGATAAATCTCCACATACAGTCTGATAGTTCCAGCAGTCATGCTCAGATACGTTTTGATTCAACACCACCAAGTATACTAACAGTACAGAAACAAGACATTTCAGTTTAACAAAAAGTAATGCGCTTAAGAACTGCTATGTATAGAACATGCCTGGCACAGTCTCCTTTCTCAGTGGTGATTGCATTGTTGTTCTGCATGTCATAGTTTTGCAAATATAAAATGGCAACTGGCTTTTCATATGATGCATGTTCACGTTATAAAACCACTTATTTATAAGGCATTCATGAGCAGTAGATGCATATATCTATTAAATGTCCTTTGTTGATATATGCTGCATGTACTTGTCCTATCTATGGTCACAAGATTTAGTATCTTGTGAATTAAGTGAAAATATATTTACTGGGGCTATAGGTTTGTGCTGAGGTTTAAAGTGAATTGTCTTCTTTTTTCAGAAGCGGAGGAGCTGTATCAGAAACGTATTTTAACAATTACAGGGATCTGCATTGCCCTCCTGGTAGTTGGAATCATGTGTGTGGTTGCCTACTGCAGAACAAAGTAATTTGCCCTTTTATATTTTTGTTTCAACAACATTGTTGAAAAAACAAAACAAAAAAATACAGGTACCATTAAATGACCCAAGTCAAGAAACATAATTAAATACTTCATACAAAACTGCAGAAAACAAACAGAAGACCTCTCCGCAACCTCAAAGACAATTTAATGTCATAGAGATATCCATAAATGAATACTTAGTAAATTAATAAATAAATAGTAAAGTAATGAATAGTGATTAGTCATTAGTGAGTATATTATTTTTGTTCCAGGAAAGAGAGGAAGAAGCTCCATGATCGCCTGAAGCAAAGTCTCAGGAGAAAAAGAAAGAATGGTGTGAGCTCCCGGGGGCGCCTAAGTTCTCAGCTGGCGCTACAAGACTTACAGCTGCCAAATGTAAGCCTCATCCACCAACAGAGTCAGGCCCATACAGTCTATGGTCAGGTCAATGTAGCTGGTATGATTCATGCTCTTTTTGAACAGAAGAACAATGGGGAGGCTGTACAGACTGCAGTAGAGAAAGACACAGAAACATCAGTCTCCACAAGCAAATGCGCCTTATCTGCCAATGAGCCCACTGCTCTCACACACATCAGCCAAAGGTACTAATATTCCCTATGTGTATTTATGCTTTTATGGAATTGCTGCTGTACTGCTGTCTCATGCAAGTCTTACTTTCATTTACTGCTGATTTTACAGTGTGCATTAATAGAAGTGTGGCAATGTATGGAGGAATAAATTAGAGTGTAAGAAGCAGAAAAAAATCTTAGCTAATTTTTTTATATTATGACCGCTAGTGGCATTAGAATTATCGTCATTAGATAGTGATTGTTGAAGTCCATACACTTAAATAAGAGATAAATATAGAGTTAGATATAGTCATTGAGTGAGCTCACATCCTTAAATCTCATCCATGCAGAATTGACCCAAAGAATAAAATAAAATAATGTTCTGGACTAGAGGCCTCTCTGAATCGTGTCTCCATGTAAACGCCCCATCCCTGTCTCCGCAGCTGGAGTAATGAGTGGAGCACCAGTGTCCTGTCTGACACTGAGTCTGTCTCGGTGATGTCATTGGCGGAGAGTAGCCAGCGTGACACACAGGGCCGCCGGGGTCGTCTCTATGCCACAGGCGGCACCAGAGACTTAAATCCTCATTCAAAGAAGTGCAGAGACACACCCAGCTCCGACAGGGACTTGTCTTAAAATACGAGGTAATCGACAAAGTGATTTTCACATAAATGGATCAGGATTTTACCTCTTTAACTTTTACTCTCGTGAGCCCACTGAAACAAATCGACAGCCAGCCACATCTAACATTAACTCAGTACAGTTTTTTTCTTTTTCTTTTGGCTTGGTTTCTCTGGAACCCCATTTTGCTCTCTTACTAACCCTGTGCTAAAAGTGAAAAGAATAGACCTATGCATGAAGGTGGATGATATCGCCAAGAACGAACATCTCAGTCAGTGCTTTCTTTTCTAGATTACAATATTCATATATCGGGAATGTGCAAAATGTGCCTGTAAATGGTTGAGGTTCAAGTCTAGCACAAAATGTAAATGGACCATAACATTTTAAATATCTCTAGTTGTTTGTAATCTCACAAACAAGAGAATAATGTGGAATACAAACTAAGGGTCTAAAGGACAGGGATAAAAATGGCTAGTTCTGTATTCCACAATTGCACAGAGAGGAAAGATAAAAGCAATCTAGCAATCTAAACCAATTACAACTAGGAAGGTAAACGTCTAGCAGCTGAGTATTGTCCCCTGATTAGGTTAGGGTAATGATTGGTCACCAAGCTCGTGCCCCTTCATTGATCTCATCAGTGAGTAAAAAGGATGAGAAACAAAAAAGCAGCTCGAGTTGGATTTATTGTTTGAGAGTTAGCGATGAATCATACCCCAGGCCTAAGTGAATTGGCCAAAGGTTGTTTGCGCTGCTGTGGCTTTATTGATGTATTTAACTTTTTTGTTTTTGCTATTACTTCATGTATCTTAATCAATGTTTATGATTTAAGCCAACATCATATATTGTACATGTTACTTTCAGCAATTAGAATATTCATATTATTACCATCAGACACAATATTCAGAAATAGAGCTTTGTTTTTATATCTAAAGGAATTTTGGACTTAATTTGTGCAAATATAGTCACAGTCATAGTCTAGAGAGCTGAGAGAGACATTCAATAAATGGTCAGTGTCCAGACCAACTGTAATTAGTAATTTTATACATTACATGCTCTACTTGTACGTGAGGTACAGTATATTACAGCACATTCTTGTTTTTATGCTTTATTTACTTAAAACTGTTCAAATATTACTAGCATTTATTGTGTCATTGTGTATTGTGACTTCATTGTGCACTTTGCATTGCTAATTTTCATCGTAATTACAGTTTTTATTTTTTGTAATCAGAATTTTACCATTTGCAGTTTGCTGTCTATGACTGAAGTGTTTTTGGTTGTGCTTATGTTACAGGTATGTATCAGCTGTGCCCTCTCCTGGTACTCCGGGGTCTCCCCCATCAGAGATGTCTGCTCCTCTGTCCAGCCTGGCCATCTCTGTCCCCTCAGTGGCCCTAAGTCCCTCTGGTGAGGAGGAACGGCCCCTGTTGCTGTCAAATGTGCAACAGCACAAGGTTTTAAGTCACAACCAACAGAAGAGAAGCTCTGCCCACTACAATCATGGACACGACGCTCACAGCCTACCCTCCAGCCCGCTGCTTTTTAGGGAGCACAGCAATTATAACTCCACAAGTGAACATGACCCCACTGCTGCCAGCTACAAGGAGTTATCTGAGAAGTTACTTAAGATGAACAACAACATAAATGACTACAACTTTAAAGGAGCAACAGTGGCGAATGGGCCTGTCCTGTACAATGCAGAGTCCTGCAATGACGGCATGCTACAGAGTGAGACAGAACAGTCTCAGGGGGAGCATATATCCTTCCTCAATGGTGACCTGACAACTGCCCCATTGCTAAAGGCTACTGACAGTGTTAGGACTACCCCAGGATCAACAAATGATACTCTACAAGTCCTGTCATGTAACGCTACAATAAAGCAAGATCAGGTTGCTGTGTGAGATAGAAAGCTGGGAAAGGCATACGTAGTAGTGACAACCAAACCTTTATTTTCTATAACTTATTTGTTGTGTCATAAAATTATACAAATCTTCATTTTTATTTTAGTGATATAGGGAATTACAAAATTAAGAAAAAAACTTTTATATTAAAATGTACATGTCCATGTGTTGAAGGTAATGTGCCATACTCAAGTATGTTAGCAACACTTCACTGTATAATTCCATGCAGAAAGAATGACAAAGGTGCCTGTCTGTTGGATGCTTAAGGAAGCAGTGCATACTGGTTCATATATTCATCTAATCCAGTTAACAATACTAAATAATGCTGGCTGCCTTATTGTCTTACATTTGGAGGTACCCACTGAATGACGGTGTGTTCAGTCTGTGTGAGCCTGCAGAGATGCATGCGACTTAATGCTGTGAATGAGGATTTGCTCATTATATCACAAATCAATGTTTCAGTTTCTGCTTTTCACTCAACACTTATTTGGTTAAAGGCACTTGTGAGATGCCTCTCTGGGGCATGACTGTTTTATATCATCTTAATAATCCAGAAGGAGCAAACACAAGATGATGGTTCTGTGCAAAATTACACCATTGACCATACTGTAAACACTGGTAATTAAAAATACAAAAGGATTATTTTTTTTTACTGTAGGTCAGGTGCAACACACTGCATGTCTGCTAGACTGAACTTAATGAAGATATTAAAAAAAAGCCTGTAAACAAACATCAGTTGAAGCGTTGTCGTAACAATGTCAGCTAACAAAATACAAAAATATGCAGCAAACCCGTTACAAAACCGTGTGTGGCTTTTTTGAGTGGATGCTGTGAAATTGTGGCATTGGCTATAGTTGTTTACTGGATCTCATTTGTTTTCCCCTTAATTTATCTGATGTTTTGTGAATTGTAAAGCCACAATGCTTTCAAGAGTGTCTTAAGATGATGTACATACACATGGATCCTGTTTCTAATAAAACTGTGAACACAATAGTTCCTTTTTATTTTTTATTCTGTTATCAAGTAGGCCAAATAACCTCCATAGAACTATGGTATTCAGAAAATGGGAAGCATTAATATTTTAGTGAATATCTTTGGAGGAAGAGCACAAGATACAAGAGAGCTGCTCATAGGAGCAGGGGAGGTGACAGGGCATTTTTTTTATGCAAATGCATTTTATACAGCCAACTTTTTGTGCAGTAACCTAAACTTGGGTAACATAAAGGCTACTACACCCAACAGTAAAAAGTTCTATTAGACATCAGAAATTCTTATTACACCTTTGTAATAATGATTAAAATATTTGTGAAAGATTTAAAGTCCCATTGCCCTATTGGGAGCCTATATTGGAAAAATGTTATCTATTTGCCAGAGGAAACAGACGAATCTAAACTCTAAATGTATTTAGAGGTGAGATAATTAATTCACTTGTACTGTTTTTTTCCCCATGTGAGTTATTTAATCACATAGCTACTAGGCCAACTACTAGTTTACTAGGCTCCTGTGACTATTTTAAGAACTCAGTTACAAAACCTGTTTAATCCGGATTTAAAAGCTTCTCTTAAACCATGGATGTTTAGGCTGCTACATTTTAATCAGATGGTCTACTTCAGTTCGAAAGGGTAATGTAAACCTGGTGATATCTGTCATGTTATTTGCACCACACCTTGCACTGCCGCCGCATTATTTTATTTTACTGTGAAGGTCCAGCCGGAAGTTGCGGGAGAGGGCCGAGAACTCGCAGGCAGAGGCCGAGAAGGAGGCAGGGGAAGGTTGAATATCGGATTTTCCACTGCCACAAGGACAGGTTAGTACGCTCCTTATCTACTTATATATTCTTCCGTTTTAATATTCAATAAAGAATTATAATGATTTGATCGCCTGCTCATTTTAGAAGCGTATCCTTGGAACAGAAAAACCCGTCGCCTTGATGCGCTGACAGGTTGTTTTGCCAGAACATAGGTTAATATTCATCTAGCTATTAAGTACTATACCTATGATAAAACAGATTTCGATGCCAATGCCCAAAGAAGCCTTTTATACTCTGTGGCAGTATAATCTCGGCCTGTACCACAGCCATCTTTCCTGCTGTGGTCAGACCCTGCATCCTGCCGTGACTGTATCCTGCTCACACTGACGACACCACATCCAGCTTCAGGCAGCATCTCTATATGAGCAACATAATGATAACGTGGACCAGATCTGAGCAGGACCAGCACTCTTGTCTGGATTAGCCCAGTTCTTTGTAACCTGGAGGACCACCACTATGGACTCTAGTGTGGGTTTAACCGCGCCATGACATTGACAGAGCGAAATGCAATATTGTTTTCTCCCATCAGCTGCACCCCCTCCTTCCCTCCCCCAGAAAATTAAATTCAATTGTTTAGATTTTTTTAAAATTTTTTTTTTAATGGAGTTTGCCTAAATATTTATGATTGGATGCACATTTGTTGTCACACCATATTACTACCACGGGTGCTCGATAGAGGGCGTAAGAGGTAGCGGTATTCTAATTTCAACAACTAATTCTGTTCCATTATCATAACTAGCGTCTATGTGTATACTAAATATACTCGTAAAAATATGTAATAACAAATATTAATTAATACTGAAACTTCTCTTGTGTCTTTCTCCATCCAGAACATGTCTTTGAAGATGGAGATGGATGTGAGTGGAGTGTCTAGGGCACATGTGGGACCATCAGCTGAAGGTAAAGCCACATTAAAGCCAGAGGCAGAGAGGCCTCGCTGTGCCAGCACCCCTTGCTCACCCATCAGAGGGACTGTAGCAGGCTATCAGATCCTCCACATGGACTCCAACTATCTGGTGGGCTTCACCACGGGTGAGGAGCTGCTCAAACTGGCCCACACATGGTCAGAGAGCCCCCCAGATAAGGGCTCTGTGTTAGAGGCTTTGCCGAGCCCTCTCCCTAGCACTGTCCCCAAATCACTAAACCTGGGCGTACACCACTCCTCCCGAATCTTTAAAGCCAAAAATCGCTACTACCAGCCATATGACATTCCTGCTGCCAGTGGGAGGAGGCGGCGCCGCATGCCCAGCTCTAGTGAAACTCTCCTCAAATCTCTGGGTCCTGGGGACACAGTCAGGACCCTCCACACACCACTGCCCCTCTGTTTGCTCAAGGGCAAAAGGGCCCAATCCAAGTCACTGGACTACCTGAATCTGGACAAGATGACTATCAAAGAGTCCACAGACACTGAGGTCCTCCAGTACCAGCTACAGCACCTCACGCTGCGAGGAGAGCGAGTGTTTTCTAGAAACAAGACATGAAAACATCACTTTGCCTTCAAACATCTCCTAACCATCCCGGGGATTTGGGTGCTATTCTCAGCTCTGGTTTCTCACCTGAGGTTCTTAGCAGTTCCGTCTGATAATCCTGTTAGATCATTGGAGTATACCTCGTAACATAGGTTTGTGAATTCTTAAAATATTCCTTACACTCTACTAAGGTTGTTGGGGTTAAAATGTGAAAATAGCAATAACTGGTAACTTATTTAAGAAACTATAGTGTGTGCGTGTACATATCGGAGATGCATTGATGTGTCAGCATCAGCTGATAGAAGCACATATCACCCACCGACTGTCAGCTTTAAATGCAACATGAGAGTTTTACTGCCATCTGCGAGCTGTGCTACTGAATGGATGTGATTCCTTCTGTGACCTGTATTCAGACACCACAGACCTTATGATTTATCATTCTAAATTCTTGTCAGTCTTTTAACACATAATCATATCATCTGAGAAGCGTAGGCCAAGTCTGCATGACACTCAATAAATATATCACAGTTGGCTGCCTAAATAAAAAAATCTTCTTTACTGTTTTGTGGCCTTTGTGCCTTGAACCAGTTGGAGGCCACATATGATGTTAATTTTCAAAAATACATATTTTTTCCTTTTTACTGTCCCCAAACTTAGGTGCACTTAATATGTTGTGCAGTCCCAAATCCACTAACATTAATCTTTGTTTTATTCTTAAACCTTAATGTGACAGACTAACTGATGTAACTGGGTGACACAGTGATCACTCAGCAGTTTGGTTTGGTTTTGGGCGTGGCCGCAGTGCCTCTACTGTAGATGTATTTAATAATATCCTCACATATTCCTACTGCAAATGCAGTGTATCTCTGGGCATCTTCATATCTTATTATTATTTTTTTTAAATCAATTTTCAGTTCAAATTCTCCAGTACAATTTTGTTAAATACACAAACAACAATATTTCAGTTATTTGTTATCAATTTATTTCTATTTTATTTTACTAAAGAAAAGCAATAGAAATGCTTATTCATTATTGAGCCCCTCTGTGTTAAATGCTTTAGTGATCATTTTATTTTCATTTTATACTTATCACTCTTAAAGTCTGACAATCAGAGTAAAGCTGCTAATGCAGTATGTAGAGTTATGATCTTATTATCACTATGAAGGAATTGCTGTCAATGACTTGTTATTGATCTTCAGGATACCTCTTAGTCTTAAATGAGGACTTTTTGAATTATTTGTTTTCAAAAGTATATTACATTGTGTCTTTGTATCTCAGTTAATTTAAACCCAAACCAGTTTCTGCACGGTCTACATGCTCCTTTTACAGTTTGTGCACTGTCCAGTTTTTGTCACATCTGTCCCCATCACATTGTTTGAGCTACCTGCTGGGAACTCAACAGTGACTAGTGTTGCTGTTACAGGACTGGGAATGTGCTTTGTTTTATGAACTATATCCTGTTTTTGTCATTTGGAATTAGAATGTGCTGATGTTGATGTTGTTGGTTCAAATAAAGGCCTTACTCAACACTTAATAATAATATTTGGCAATGACTGTAAATTATTCATACATTATTAATTTATTAAGTATGTTTATCTATGAGTGGTATCAAAACATTATTTATCTGCATCAAAGAAAAACAAAAGTTCTGTTTTCAAGAGGCCATTTCACATGTAAAAAGTCATGTCACTAGAACTATGTGGCTTAACCAAAGAGCAGCAGAGTGTGCGCTTCACATCCTGGTCTCCTCAGGTGCATGATTATTATAATCTTGAAGTGCTTGATGCAAAGGCAACCATTTTTTAATTGAAGCCTTAATGGCAGCAAGCCATCTGTAAAGTACAAAATATCCATTAGGTAATTTACATGACCTCTGTGATGTACTATAGTATACGTATAATTTAAAGAGCCATATACTCTCTTTAATTCATTGATCCTTACCGTTTGTTATCGTTGGGGTTTTCAGCACAGAGGTAGAAACTCTTGAATTCATCAGATGGAGGTTTCAGTTCAATCGTGCATTTCCTGGATCCGTATGACTGCTCTCTCACTGTGTAACCCTGAAGATATATGCCACCTAAATTGTGTAAGTACAAGTACAGTCTGCATGTTAGAGAGGTGACAAATTCAACATTAAAATGGCTTTACAGTAAGAAACATACCATGGGCATGTGTGGCACGTATGCCACTGTAGAGGTACAAGCAGCCATCCTTCAGAATACAGTAGTTTTGGATCCACATGTCTTTAATTCTGTCCATTTTGTGGAGCAGTCCGAGACACTCTGGATTTTTCACAGCCAGAGGAGGCAGGTTAGAGTTGTGTCGTGTCACATCCACCCACACGTGATTCTGAAACAGTGTTGATTCATGAGACTAGATTTACAGAATCTCTACCATCACAGCTCCTCTATTGAACAACAACATTAAAAACAACATGAATGTGACCGATCTGCTCCATGGCTGTCTCTACGTGTACACCCCATAGACTGTATGGTGCACCCATGGTGTTTTTAACAATAGATCAATCCTAACTCCTTTTAGTTTCCTACTTTTAGAATTATTGCTAATAATTATACTTGTGCATAAAGGTATTATTATTATTTTATTATTATTTATAAATAAACTCCAAAGACCATCTTCTGCATCTTGCACCTGTGTAACTGAAACAAAGTTACATCTAAAATCTCTCGGTCTATATAGTCATAAACGGATCTTACCTGAGTAACTGGATGAATGGCTTTCTCTAGAGCCTCTATCCACCTGAATTACACAAACGATATGTAAATACTATTAAATTGAGTGTTTATTGCTCATTATTGAGTTTCTTTGGGGATGGGGGTCAAGCAATGATACCTTTTCATCTCCTGGTTCGATGTGGCACAGAAAAAGTACACGCGATTTTCCAGCAGGGGGCGACATTTGAACACAAACTGTTTTCCCAGCGAGAGATCTGGCCCAACCTCGGCTCCTTCCAGCTTTATCGTGCACAAAGCCAGTCTTTTACCTTCATCCTGGACATGTATAATGAGATTAGAAGTGGTTGAAGTGAATCTCCAGCATAATTTTGGCTCTTTTTAAGGCTCTTTTTAACATTTCAAACAAATTATAAGCACCCTAACGTTTCTGCTGAACTGCAAAAAGTATTATTCACACTCACACACAAACTTAAAGTGTGTACATGTACATGTAGAGGTCCTAGTTTTAGTGCAGTATCAGTATGTGGACTTGGTTTGGTCTTGTTCTAGTACTGGTTTAGTTTAATCTTGTCCAGATTTAGTCCCACATTTGCGGTGGTAATTGTGTGAAAGCACACAGTTGTGAAGATGTTGTGGATCTATGTATTTGTGTATCTCTTTATCTCACCCGCTTGTGCCTGTAGTAGTGCAGGCAGCAGTCATGTGTCAGCACAAACCATCGCTTCCTCCACCCTTTTATGAGGCCAGACTGGGTGCGCTTGTGAAGGTAGCCGCGGCATCCGGGACGAGGGGTGTTAGGGCCACGAGCAATGTCCGATCCAATAATCAGTGTTAAAACGTCTGGCCCTAAATAGATCCATTTGTTTAGTGTGTTCTACCAGTGGAATGTACATTAAAGGTGCTCTATTTAACTTTTCTGGTGGAGAGTCTCCGAGATATTATTGCTTTGTCTAGATTTTTCTATAATATGGCATTTAACTTAACTGAAGACAAGCAGGTGAAGCCCCATAGACAAATGACAAGGTATCTGTGAATAGGGGAGCTTCTCATAGTATTTATTGAGCAATAAAGTCACCTCTAACTGAATAAATATAAGGTGGAAACGTTTAATGCCATAGTGTGAAACATTCCAGGCATTCCCTTCATGAAGAGAAGCAGATGGCAGACCCTCCACCAGACAAATTGTATCAATTGAATCAATATTTGTTCTTTTAATTGATGAGCCATGAAGGACATCACCTTGTCTGGCCAAATCTGCTGCCTCCGAATGGGGGATGCTGGTAACATCTGTCCCATTGACAGCCAGAACATAGTCCCCCACCATCAGGCCTGCCTCCTCCGCTGCTCCATCTAAAATAAAAGTACACCGTTCTATAGTAAAAGTATTTATCACTTTTATACAAATCTAGCTTGAAAACTCACTGGTATCGACTTCCGTGACAACAATGGGTTTTGAGAACTGGATCCTGAAACCCCAGGGGTAGTCTCCTGTTCCTTTGTTTATTCTGACCGTCCTTTCTCGAACTATAATCAAATAAAACAAATTATGCCCCTTTAGTAGCAAAATGTGAAAAGAGAGGAGAGGGGGAACATATATAAGGTCTATATATATATATATATATATATATATATTATATATATATATAATATATATAAAATTACTAACATAAATTACTGCAATATAAATATAACTAGGAGTACAAATAAAGTTACTTGAACCATATTCCCTCCATAGCCACTATCATCATCACTGATTCAGGTCTTGCCACCAGTCTAGTACTACATTGTACACTTAAAAAGAGATTTTAAAACATTACATTGCACATACTTGATACAACTCTGCTCCTGCTGTTTAGAGTGGGTGGGATGGCTCCTGTGGTGTCATTGTCTCCATGGTAAACCCATGCTGCAGAGTGGAAAGTTTCAGTGTAAAAGCCTCCTACTTCTGTGTCCTGAGTTGTCATGTCCAGAGATGGAGCATCTTCAGACACTAGAAATAGAAAAATGTACACCAATCAATTACTACAGTGTTTCTACTATGTACTAATAGTGACCTTTGACTCTATAGTCCCAATTGTACGTTTCAAGTTTCACTCATATAATTTATATTTGTGATTAGCTAGCCTGTCATCACCTGCCCATGATACAAATACATTTCAGACAGAAGCTATAATTTTTTTTATTAATTCAACCACTGTTCCTTCCTAGGACCACTTTTGACAGACACTGAAGAAGATAGCTAAAATAAGTACAGCAATTTCAGAGATGCTCAGTTATCTGGATTTAATGTTTGCCTTATTTGATAAAATTCATCCTACTTGTTCATTTACAGCTTGACAAAAAAGCCTTTCTGCATAACCAAACCTCCATAAAAATTTAAAAGTGAAAATGAGCAGCATCAACAGTAGAAAATATTATATGAATAGTGACTGGTTAAAGTGCACTTAAGGTACCTAAGTGCCTTACGTTAGGTACACTTTAGGCTACTTGAGGTACACTGTAACTTGTCAGGAGTAGAGTCTGCCAACTTCTTGTTTCCATGGAGATGTTTGCCTTTGCTCTAAATGAGCAAGAAGGTGCTAAAGTACGGCACCATAACAAGAGCTCTGCTGTGCTCTGTTTGTTTTGTGTTGTTAACCTAACCTTACCTAAACCTACCATCGACAGTGTGGTATTACACATATCACCATGAAGGATACTGCTTGGCCTAATTAGGTCAGATGTGTGGAGAGCCCACAGAAAGAATACATATGTTTGTAAGAATAAAGACATCTGTAATTGAATAAATGCAAGCTATATCAGTTAGCATATAATTACACCTTTAATGAGATGTGTATTTTTTGGGACACTCACCGGACCCGTCTGTGATGTCACTGGTTATGGAGCCCTCCCCTGTAGAGCTCTTCTGTTTGCTCTCTTTGAACATTTTTCGCCTTTTGGCCCAGTGATCGGGACCTCCACTCTCCACAGGTTTAAGAAGCTCTTTGGTATCTGAAACCGCTAAAGAAAAATCAGCACTTCATTATTAACAAGCTTTTCACAAATCAAAACCTTTTGTAAATACATGCTAACACTTACATCTACATAATGTCATCTTTTCTTCTTCATTGGTTTGCTGTTTTGAAGCAAGACAAGCTAGAGATATACTTTTGAGAGGGTCATGTCGGCCACTTTCTGAAGGAAGCTCAGAAATCTCTCCACTTATTGTTGATGAAAAATAACTAGCAATCCCTTTATTTTCTGGGACAATATCCTCTGTCACTTCCTCTGAAGAAATCATGTCAAAGTCTTGTGCAATTCCCAGAGTACATCTTGTGGGTTGGAGCATCTGTTCCACCGATGTACAACATGATGGAGGTATGACTTGTATGGCTAAAGTTCTCTGGTTTAGCTGATCTGATGGCAACTCTGAACTTATCTGACAATTTTCTTGCTCAAATACACAGTCTCTTTTGTCACTTTGGTGATCAGTGTTAATGCCATCCACAAACGTTTGGTCAGTGCCCTGTATACCCACATCTATGCACGTATACCCCCTGCTGCTTATTCTACTACACTTCTCCCTAACTTTATTTGCATTATAACTTCGGATTACTGCAAACTTGTCATCATCCATATTTATACTTCCTTGCCTGTCACTTTGAGTATGGTGATACAAAGAGGAGGTTGTATCTGACGAAAAGGGCTCCCTGAAATGCATAAGATGATCTTCTTGGAGAGATCCAGAGGTACGTAATAGTCTTGGGAATGTCTGACGTCTCTTTTTTGGAAATGAGCATGTTTTGTGCTCCACCGTAGCAATGCTGTTGTTTCTGACCCATGATTTTGTTTTCTGAGAGTTGATAAAGTCTGTAAAACTGGACCTGTTTGTTGACACAGAAGGTCTCATAGACGTAGGGTCATAGCCAGAGTCGGACAACTGCTCAAGGTCAAGTCCACCCCCCACTTCTAAAGAATATGAATTTTCCAATTTGGTAAAAGACTCTCCTTGTTTGTAACTAGGACTGCAAGTGTCAATTCTACATGATGATACACCAAGAATAAGATCATCCAAAGTGTTGCACTTACTGTCTGCAACTTCTCGGTTTGGAGGAGTGATATTGTGGGATTGGTCGCTGCTGTATCCTCTACCAAAATATTTTCTTCTAGGTTGAATATAGGCAAGAGGTGGTTGATCTAAAGAGCTATTAGACAATGGGAAGGTTTGATGATCAAGACAATGTTGGTTGCTGCCTGAACTTTCCAAAAAATTTGATGAACTGATGGTTGTTGATGGACATTCCTGTGGTTGGTTGTTACTACTGAAGGAGAAGCTAAAGTTTGGTGTGTACTGGCTGTGGACAGTCCAGGCAGGTGATGATTGATCATTACAGGGGATCCTCTCACATATACTCCTAAAGACTGTCTCAAGACCATCTCCTTTCTCATTATATACAACAAATGAAGTCTTAACTCCAGCTGTATTAGTCTCTTGCAGCTCTAGTTTGACCTTTGACCCTTGGCAGTTAATCTTCATGATGCTACTTCCTGGTTTGGCTGGATTTGTCTCCAGGGGTTCCTGTAATTGCTGGAACGTGATGTTTGGAGTTGAATTGTCCATATCCTCCACAGACACAGATGTCACAATTTTCACACCTTTTGCTTCATCATTTGTTGTTGCGGTGTAAATATTTCTCTGATTTTGAAAGACATTGACTTGACAGTCATACTTAAACTTTTTTTCTTTCGGTGGAAGATGTTTTCCATCATCTTCTAAGTCTGCATTTTCTTTCCCAAAGGAGTCAGAGTGACTCTTTTCAGCTTCTTCGTTATTGTTCTTGGGGCTGATATACTGGGAGGTGCTCTCTGAAAGAAGACCAGAAAAGGCGTTGGTAAACCGTGGGTAGAAATGTGACTGAGTTAAGCAGGAGATTAGACTAAGTGCAGCCAAAAGCTTTAGCTCACGTTTGCGGCTGCTGGAGCTCTTCCGGCGCCGGCTGCTTCTCCTCCTCCCCCTTTTACTCATTCTGAAAACAAACAAGGGTCATTGCAAAGGGTTGTTCGAGGACATATAACACATTAAAGGTACCGTATGTAACTTTCTGGAGGTCTCCATGTATATAAATAAGATTATGCTGTGGAATATTTTAGCTAAAAGAACACAATTTCCACGGAAAAGGCAGCAGGAAGCCGTCCTCCATGGTTCAGTTCTGTGGGGATGCAAGCCCACTCACAATATGCATATTTGTTTCGCAAGTACATTTATCGCATAAGAACAGAATCTGCAGTATCATTTTAATACCAACTGCTACTGTAAACTTAGTAGATGCCATTCATTGTAGTTTTTAGTTGGCCCAACTTGATAGTAAAAACAGTCACCCAATTCAACAAGAATACAGAAACAAAAATGCTGGGTGTGTGGCTCAGAGCTGATTGTTGGAAGTATTGTGTAACTGATATGTTGCATTTTCTTCTTCATGTAGACATAGTCAGTATACTCCACAGACAACTGAAGCACCCTAATATAGTCCTCAATATAGCATTCAGATAAAGAGTAGAAAGGTACTTAGACTAATGGTTACTCTTCAAATACTGTAGTAGCAAAACACCAGAGTATTATGAAAGCACAATACCAAAATGGGGAACACACAGTAGTGATTTTAATTAATTAAAATTGATAAGCAGTCATAAAAAGCAGACATACCTTTTAGGTCAGGTCCTTTGGGGTCCCATGTGACTCCAACATCAACAGTGCAGTCATGTGTGGCAGCTGTGCTCCTCACACCGTCACATACATGCCTCAGACTGCTCCACTTCTTATTGATACTATTCTGAACTCAAAGCTGATTATGGGTCTAAGCTCCTGAGCCACCAGTGATGTCAATGTGAGCATCGATAACTCTATTCATCAAGTAAAGACACTTTAGAACAATAGTAAAGACATAAAACACATAGACCTACATTACACAATATTTTGGGAAAAAACATTACCCTACTTGTAGTAGGTACTGGATTGCAAAGTTCTTGATAGCACATCAAGTATTTGAAGAGTTGAGAAGGAAACTGTTAGCATGTGTGACCTCATGTGACTGAGACAGAGCTGGACACCATGATTTTAACCATTCACATCAATCCATTGAACACACCTGTGACCTCAGAGTGATGCTTTGCAAACACTTTATTACACAAATACAATTGTTACTGAAAATAGTACTCTTGCAGCAAAACCAGTGTGTCACAATAAATATTTGATAGTCCACATTTGGCCAAAACATTCAAAATGCAAATTGTATGCCATGCTATTAAGATGATCATTCATACAATGTCTGCAGTGACTTGTTATGGCAAACAGAGATGTTACATATTGGGGATCGGGTCTAACTTATACAGGCTTCAGCATATGGGCTACATGTGCATAAATGCACAACTAAGTCCACATCACAGTGTAAATAGTATGTGGTTAGAAAGCAGCTTTTTAAAAACAAACCATTGATGTTGGGAAAAAAAAAACACAAAAAACAAAAACAAATAAAAGGCAGGTGTGTGCTGTTGAAATTTGGCACATACAGGCTTAATGAAGAGATTAAGCTGTACTACCCTTGATTATCATTTAAGGAAAAACTGATAGTCCTGTACAATTTAAACTTAAAAATTCCAAGAATAAAGAAACATTTTGTTGGAAGCTTAAGGGCAACTCGGCAGAACTAATCCTGTCAAATAGCTATGTGGTGCCATCATAAATAATTCATTATGAAGATTAAAGTTATGCAAGTGAGAGAGTGAGAAAATCATCATTCTGAGCAAAAGTGAACCTCCCAAGGCTTTAGAAATTCAATGCAATTGTAACGTTGGAAATGTTTGTCAGTGACAAGATGCAAGTACTGAAGCTTAGATTTCTTAATTCAAATTCACAAGACATGGCTGAATGTGCACATTGCCCTGAAAAATTACAGTGATAAGGACTCTAAAGAAATAGCTACACACACGCATACATATATTTATATATAATATACTTTGTAATTTGAAATAGAAGATAAATTTATATATTACAAGCTCTTCGAGCAGCAGCTATCTTTCCTGTTGTGCATTTTATAATGGAAAATGCTGAAGGAAGGCAAAATACAGACAAAAAGGCACCAAATTACAAGTAAAATGCTACAAAACAGAAATGGCGATTCAATAAATATATAAAGATTGATGTTTGCAGCTTTACTACATTTTAGGGCAATCATATTTTTACCACTGTACTACAGTGCCATTATACAATTATTTAGTCTGGTTCAAAAAGACACAACAATTTGCAGTTCAGGAAAATCTCTTCAGCATTTCAATTAACGGCCCCATTTAAATATTGGATTTATCAGAGTGAAGGGGAGTGAGGGCACAGCATGGAGGCCTCAGAACACAATTGTTTGAGAAATTATAATGAAATATCATACCCTGCCTGGTCTCTTACAAACAAAACAGTAGTTTGATATTAAAATATTAATCAGAAATTATTTCTCTTGTAATGCAAAAGGGTTACAATATAATTTTCAGATTTACCACCAGTCATCAATTATCTAGAAATTCTCTGTTAGATGTTTTATGGTCAAAACCATTTTAAAAGTAATTGTAAATGAATTATTATTAACTACCCTGAATGTATTTACATTATAAAACAAAACAGACCACAATATACACTGAATATATAAATAGGAAAAAACATTGGCAACAAAACTGGACATCCTGATAATGTAAGCATGGACAGACCATCTAGGAAGTACGGGGTGGGGGCAGGGCAGAGTACTCTTCGTTCTCCGAGTCACTGCTGTCCTCTTCGATCCTCTCCTGGTCACTGCCCTCGGTGCTCAATTGGTCAAAGCCCTGTCGACTGTAGCCTTTGTGAGCCGCAAAGAAGTTACCCAGATTCAGGCTGCCCACAGCTTTACCTGAAAACACAACATAAAGAGGTCTATTCTGGGAATTAAATGATGTGGTTTATTTAAAATATTCTGGTGCTACTAATTTGTATAATCACAGAACAGTAATATAATGTTATAATGTACCTCTTAGTTTACCCAAGATTCCTCCCACAGTAGTTGGTTCGGGCTTCACTTCAAACTGATCTGTAAATTAAAGAGTTGATAAGACTTTAAAGTATATAAAATATGTGAATATGAGCTTTATAAAGGGGTACATACTTCTTTTCCTGTAGCATATGAAACCTGCCATGATGACAACCAGGAGCAAAGGTACGAGTAGCAGAGTTGTCATGACAACGGGGAACACGCTCTGATCCTTGTTCGGCTTCACCGCTGCCTTTGTCTTCTCTGTATCTCCATCCACCATCTTCTGTATTTGTGGAACAGTTTGCTTCTGTGGACCCACAGTGGCCCTTTCAATTTTAGGCTCAGATTTTAATTTGGGCTCTGGTTTAAGTTTGGCTTGAACATATGCCTCCACTTCTGAAAAAAATATTCCAATTACAATCACAAAAAATGTATACATTGTATATATGTATATAGTGTATCGTATAGTTTTATTTTTTAAAAATTATATAAGAAAAACCTACCCTCAAGCTCCTGAACTTCAATCCCAGCTTTTTTGACAGATCGATGTGCTTCTGAATAACATGACATCAATTAAAATCCACCAAACTTATGATACTAATAAAAAAAATGCACTTACTTTCAGAGGTAAACTTGTAGACTGCTTTTGTCCCTACATCCCCAACAAACACACTGCCATCATTGGTCACAACAATGTCATGCGGCATTTTGAAGTCCTGTAATGAAGGCAATAATGAAGGAGCACATACCTTAAAGTCGGACATCTATAGTTCTGTATGACTTATTTGTATAGCTTACCTTGTGATCTGGCTGGAATGTGTCTATTATATCCTTGGTAGAATAACTGATTACAAAACCCTTTGGAGGTGAAGAAATGCCAAATGGAGACTCGCCATTAACAGCATAGATCAACCCATCTAAGTATCAATATGTACATGAATGATGCATACAATACTTACAATACAAATTAAGAGAACTTGTGTGAACGTGGGGTCTTACCTCCAACAGGGCTATATGTGATTGCAAAGACTTCACCAGAAAATTCCTCTTTCTTGATTTCTTTGACAAACTCCCCAGTTTCCGCAATAAAGCACTGGATACGACCATTCTCCCTGTCGGCAACACACAGTTCGCGTCTGTCGGGAAGGAAGACCAGACTGTGGGGTATCCTGAATGGGATGTGCATTCTTCTGTCTGAGTAGCCTTTCAAATAAAGAAAAATTGTCTCAGTTAACAAGACATCGAAAACTAATTTACGCTTTCCAGGTCATTCATTAAAAATATATATATTGTAGAGTATGTTTTCATAAAAAAAGAGTGTTAACCAATACCTGCACCCCACTGAGACAAGTATTTGCCATCTGCTGAAAACTTTAGTATTCTAGCGTTGCAATAGCCATCTGAAATAAAGACGTTTCCATTTTCACTGTCTACTGCAACATCAGTGGGTTTGCAGAAGTGGTAATGGTCACTTCCTGGTACAAAAGCCTCTCCCAGACTCAGAAGTATTTGGTCTCTGCCATCACTGCTCACTTTAAATACCTACACAATAACACGCACATTAGTAATACATTTAATTATTATATTATTTATATAATATTTAAAAAATTGAAAAGAGGAGTATAACTGTAGCACATACCTGATGAAGAGCAACATCAGTTACCCAGTAAAAGTTTCCGTCTGTAGTTATTCCATGAGGCAAATAAAACCTTTAAAAACACACATTTGCTATCTTAACAAAAAGTACAATGTCCAATAGCACTAATCACAATCAGAGAGCTTACATGTTCCTGCCTGATGCCTTTAGGATCTTGCCATTTACAGTGTCAAGAAGCAAGATAGTGGATTGCTGAATTGGTCCGAGAGTTTTCTGCTGGTATCTATCTTTTGAATCAAATGATCTTAAAAAAAAAAAAATGTATATATATATTATATATATATATGTATATACATATATAGAATACCATTTTCGGTATGAAGAAAAGCTCATGTACATAAGAGAAACATACTTCTTTTCCCAGTAGCGGTCACCGCGATGGAAAATTACCAGGTTTGAGTCAGAGTCTATGGCCAGTCCTGATACCTGCCCCAGCTGAAGGGGTCCCTGTGGCCAATTTATCACTTGCTCCAAATGCAAATCTAAAGAGAACACAGTTTTTAAGGTCAGGTTCAAACAATTAACCTATGAATGCATTGGACAAAAATTACACACATGAATTTAACAAGACAACAATGAAGCAAAACCAAAATGCAAAAGGAAAACAGGATCTCACACAAACGACCAGCGAGCAACAGGCAGTCACTCCATGGCCATGTCTGGGGTCACTGAACGCATGTGCAAAAAAAGCTCACTTGAGCAACTTTTGAAGTTGGTCTAAACCAGTTTCACACCTGTTTAACACTACCTACTGTGTTAAACAAGTGTTGGCACAGACCTTTAGGTATCACACCCTACAACATCCTCATGCAGACAAGATAAAGAAAGATTAGCTGTAATCGTTCAGGTATTGCATTTGTTTACAGAGCTTTGTATGAAATTTGAACAGCCCTAGAAGATTGAGATAATGCTAAAACAGGTTTGCAAAATTGTAAAACTGTTGCAACCACATGCACCATGAACTCATAAAAACATTTTAAGCACACACCTGTAACATTATATCTATAACATTAGATCCATATTTTGTATTTCAAGTTTCTTGCACAAGGTTTAGAAAAAAAAAAATAACAGTAAATGTCATTTAACCAGAGGACAGGGCTGTAGTATGGCTTACATAGGAAATCCATAGTAAAAAGATGCAGTTTAGTACTTCTAAACTGTACAAAAGAAAAGATGAGGGCAACAGCATGAAGTCCACACCACTTGCTGGACCCACCTTGTCCTTCAGCTAGCAGCTTGCTTCGTAGTGGCTTTGGCATATCCTCAAGCTGATGGAATTTGTGGACTCTGTCCCTCACCAAAACAGGATCTTCCCTGGCTTTGTAGACTAGTTTACCACTAGGAGAGGCCAGCTCCTTGCTTAGCATTATGTTTCTAATGTGAGCCACCAGCTCATCTTGGGCTCTAAGCATGTCGCTGGGGCTAAACTTGTGAAAATAACCTATATCTTTGCTCTGCCCTAAAAGCTTTGAAATTAGTGAATACAGGTCACCTGCACAGAGACAGTAAAGAGCAGGAATAAAAGACATGGAAACTGAAAGCAAGATGCTACAGCTGCATAAGCAGACAGAGAGGGCGTCCAATGTTTTAATCAGTCCAAATTTAAGATCTGACTAAGAAGGACAGGTTAGCCAGCAAGAAAATGGAGAGAAATGATGAATGTCAGTAAAATGCTTTTTTTTTTTTGCAGTTAATATGGACAACTTTAATAAAGCTGACAACATATACACTGGTTGTAAATAATTATATTGTAACTTATACACAGCACTCATACATGCATAGTGAGGAAAGACGAACAATCTTATTTTAAAGAGGGGGTATTTTACTTTAGTACTTTGGGGTATTAACTGCTATGTTACTTTTTATTGTTTTGCAAATGCTAAATTAGCTTTTTCGTTTTTGACCCTCTGACGGAGGGGCCCATTGCACTCCCCCTTAGGAGCTCTATCAGATTACAATCAGTACGCATCCCGCTAATGAAACTGCTGGACATCACATCAGTTTTGTGAAGTTGATGTGCTATTGTATTATTTATGGAGAATTGCCATGCAGAAGCATGGATGACGTAGGTCTGTGGGCTGAGCATTGGTCAGAATCTTACTGCAAACCTGAAGGAGCGTTTGGGAGGGATCATTAAATTACTGAAATGTGAATGGATGACATCTAAACCCTTCAGGCATGTTTCTGGTGAGGAAAGAACATTATAACATTGTAGAAAGCTCAAAAAGTTGATTTTGCAAAATGCCCCCTCTTTAATGTAATATACAGTTTGTACTAGTCAGAGGTGCTGTTAGTGCTCTGATGCCCATTTAAGTTTTATGTCTTACATAATTGAAAATATGTTGTCAACCCCCCTTTTTTAAAATATAGTTCACAGGCTGCACTTGATCCAGCATTAACTGCTACATAAAAAAATGTATAAATGTATGTAAATGATAGTCATCTTACCTTGGTCCTTATTCTGAGCAGCATCTTTGGGTGCCATATCATGGAGATCTTTGAAAGGAAAGTAGTGGAGTACATTTTTTTATTGGTGTCGCAACATATCAATTAACAGGTGATTTTCAGAATCTAAATCAAGTCAGACTCCATGATTGATGAGATAAATATCCAAATAAAACCTGATACTTTCTATTAGTGCCTATTCTATTCTACTGGTGATAAGTAGTTTCACCTAGGCTAAAATTTCATTAATTATTACTGGTCTATAAAAATGCTCTGGTGTCACTTGAAAACCCACTAATATGACAAATACCTGAACGTCCTTTATGCATCATAGAATGCATTAGGTTTGGTGGCACAGCAATGGGGACATTGGCCTCAGCGGGGATTTCCTGGAACAACTCTTTTGAGCCTGTTTTCATGCAGTTGAAGAAGGGGACAGCGTGTTTCTTGTCCATGTAGTACATTATATAGAAATTGCACATCTCATCATCAGAGGTACCACTGCACAAGGGACAAACACACAAGAGCATTGGTAATCTAGTCATAACCATGACACTTAAAATACCAAGAGAAAACAGTAAAATTACCCGATATAAGTTTTAGAGGTTTGCCCTTCACCAGTAAAAACGCATCTAGCTGCCAGTGTGTCACCATATTTAATATCCACATCTTTATTAGCCGGGTAAAAAGCCTGTATTAAGGGTTAATAAGACAAATCTTAAAAAGGGACAAAACGTTAAAAAAAGAAAGTTAACTTTTGGAGCCTTTAAACATGTTGTTGCCTCATCATTAGCTTACTTATTCGATTCATACATGTTTGAGCAATCGTCTATTGTCCTCCATTCAACGCTTAAGGCCCAATCATTAATAAGAGCAGTGAAAATCTGCTGCTTACTACAAAAAATTCCACTATGACGAGGTGGGATTAATCAGTTCTGTAGTTTTGAACATGAAATGATCCTGTTTCTATTAAGCCATTTAAATGAATACTGTGGTACACAATGAGCAAAATGTAAAATAATTACCTATGGGTTAATACATGAAAAAACACGGTATGTCTTCTTTAAGGACTACATCATACCTGTGGAAGCTGAGGGGACTGTCTCCCAATCAAGGTCCACTTCCCATCTCTGACCCTGTAGCCACTCACCACTTTACCTAAAGCATAAACTGTTACGTGCAATGTTCATGGTTTATGAGTGCAAATCTACACCTACAACTTACCAAGGTGGTGAGTGTGGGTCCTGAAGGCAAACGGGTACATGGGGTATGAAGTGTAATCACAGGCAGAATCTGCATTTGTAACTGGCAAAACAAAGGAAACACATTGTTTTTTGTCAAGGCTAATGTGGTAGCTTTAAACATACAAACAAAGTAAATGGAAATTAAAGATACAATCTTCCGTGTTTCAAGCACATTCACGAACTTGTGGATACACGATAATGATAATAGCTAAAAATAATACATTAGTTGCTACGGGAACAAATAATTACAGAGCTGCTAAATTTCCGAAGTGCTCCAACTCCAATTGTCAAGCCTTTTATAATTGTAAAATTACAGTGCCTAACCATAAAAGCATGTTATTAGCAGTATTTAAAATATTTTTAAATAAAACTTCCAATGCAGAGCCACAGAATGCAAATGACCAGTAAAAATGTTATTAAAGAAATACGCCAACCCTCACCAATGTTTCCAGGAGGAATGACTGTATCTACTGTCATCATAAGATATATACCAGCAATAAAAGGCTGCCTGGTGAAAAAGAGAAGTGTAATATTGTGAAACAAATTCTTTACCAAATTAAAAAAACAACAACCTAATAATCTTACGGTTTAGTTGTCAGAGTCAGGGAGAGTCCTGAGCAATCCTTATGATGGTCTGTAGGACAAACAAGAAATTTAATCTGAGTCTTCTAGACATACATACATAATATATGTTTATTCAAATGGCTGACCTTTCTTTTTAAATAAAGACATAAAAATGTACAGTTAAGACTTACCTCTAAAAGCAGTTACATCACCATAATGCATTTGTAGTACAAAGTAGGACATTCTTGAATGCCCTCCAATTTTAAATCCAACATCTACAAAAAGAGCAAAACATATGTTTTCAAAACATCAATGCAGCTTTTAAAAAATTTTAGATCACAATGATTAGATAAATGTAAATAATTATTATAAGCGCGACCTTTTGGCAGTTTGGTTGGTGGTGCGTTCCGAGCCCAGGCATACATAATGGAGGACTCATCTTCACAGGTTCCTTGTGCACTGCCACAGTCCCTTGAGAACCACAGAGTTTGTCAGATAAGCAAATTAAAATTAAGAAAAAAATGTTATTACTCTACAACAGTTGCAACTGATGTACCTTTTATATCGCATTGAACCGAAAGAGAGTTAAAAAAGACTTTCCTCAGGCTGTATTGTTGTCATAAGCCTGCCATACACTAAAGGATAATTTGCCTGATTTAAGCCCCTATTTGCTTCTCCCCAAGGTTGGGGAGGTGTTACCCGAGTTTGGATCCTCACACTCCTTAAGGGTGGTGCCAGACACTGATGTGCTCTGTCATATCATAACCACCACTTCACCAGCGGATAAAACAGAGTGTCAGGGGCACACAAATTGATGGACACAGGAGCAACATACAAACTCGGAAATGGCGAAAATAATTAAATTATTTTATCACTCACCTCTAATAAAGTTAAACTCCATTATATTATTATATTATATTTTTTAATTTAAAAAGGCCTTACTCTTGATACATTAAAACTGTTTTTCATTACATATATTTAAAGGACACAGCGAAGAAGTGAAGGTGTTGAGACTTACCAGTAGCCACTTGTAGAGACAGGAGTCTGGCAGCTAAACAGTAGCATGTGATGAACTGTGTCCATACTGGCATAAGGAGTAAAGTCCACTGAGAACAGAATCAATACAGCAAACATTATGATCAGTTCAAACAATGAATATGAAAGAAGATGGACATAAAAGCAGATACTCACCAATGTAGACCTCCTGATTTGTTGGTACAGGAAAGGCCATGCACAAGTACGAGTCCGACTGAAAAAACATGTAGCAAATAAAGCATATTAGATTGAAAATAGCTACAGGATGCACATTAAATGAATGCTCAAATTACTTACATGAGGGGGAACAACACCTGGCATTCGAAGGTCTACTGTGAAATTATTGGAGTTCCCCCTGAACAGAGACTGCCTGGACACTGGCCCACAGCTTCCAGGTACATTTTGATCAGACCTGGAAATTAGCACATATTTTTATCACAAATGTAAACATGTTTTGTATTAGGAAAATGAACTACAAACAAACAAAAATTAAAAGCAAAATGCCGACCTTTTAAACCTGTGGAGTTGATCAGTTATTGCCAGGCTATGGGTGATACAGATGACCGCTAGGGTCATCAAACAGCAAACAGAAAGAGCCATTTTTCCCCCAGCACCTTCTTCTTACAAATGCAGAAAGAAGGCAGTTTAAAAGCAATCATGTGAGAAACCATAGAGGTGATGTCACAAGGGAGGCATGTCCATTGTTTACCTGTTATCCTGGATGCTGAAGGATTTGAATAACACACTTGTCCACAGAGTCTTTACTCATTCATCATTCTGTCGGGTTGCCTGCCTCCATAAGCAAGAATATGCAAACTGTAAAAGCAGAAAATGACAAAGCAATATATATGTCAGTCATTTCCTTCCTTATTTCTTTTTTGTTTATTTAATCTTCCATCTTTCTTTCTTCTCTTTGCTTTTTTTGTAATTTTTTTTCCTCTTATTTGTGTATCATTTACTCATTTCTTATTAATACAGTAGTATAACTGCTATACTTGTGTCTTTTTCCGTTACATTTATTCTTATTTATATTTTGTTACCCTTCTTTAAAGCACATGGACACACACTGTAATGTTATCCCCCTCTTTGTTTATATATTAAAATGCTATTTAAAAGGGTGATACTATTAAAATGAAAACAAAAACAAAAAAAAGAGGTGGTCCTTGAACAATTGTAATAATGAACATTAGACTGCATAAATTATAGTTCATTATATGGATTATACACTGCTTTGGCTTTAAAGCTTGTCTTGGGACCAGTAAGTGCAAAACTTATCACCAAAAAAGTGACACAGAGCATATTTAAATCGATTTTTTAAGGATCAATTGACACTCCAAAAGATGTCACTTCACTGTACAGTACTTTCCCATTAGGCAAGCGGGTGTGCATCAGTCTCGTAAGTGTGCACAGTGCCATTTGATGTGTTCTATAAACGGTATGAACAGTCCACCTTTCACTTTGACAACCGTCAGCCTTTAAACCCTATAAACGCATCATAACATGTCTATTCTTAATAGGCTATCATGAGGCCCGTCATTGCTTTATGTGTGCCAGATGTGAGGTCTACAGGCTGCATGGGGAAATCGCGGTGGTGAGTCATCCGTGGTGGCTTTGCGGGGTGGGGTGAGGGCCAATGCTGCGCTGACATCACGAGCCTCAGAAGAGATGGAGGAAACTATGGAAACAGGGCTCGGCCACAGAGGACCACCACAGCACATATCAGCCTCAAAAACAAACAGGACCAACCCACAAATCACCGCTTCTTGGCCTCTAGACAAGGCAAACAAACACCAGAGATAAGCACTTGGTGACAGATGAGCTTAAATTTCGCATACGTGAAAAGGAAACAGCACGCAACGTCGCACAACACGTTTAGTTTAATATTAACATCACATCATCTTCAGCGGTACAGTTCCACTCACTCCAGCCATCCCTTCACGATCATGCCACGCCATTGTGCTATGTTAACCACCCCTCCGCCCCACTTATTTCGATTAGTTACACAATGTACACACTACTGTTAGAAACCCAAGCACAGCCTTGAAAAGCCGCTTTCTTGTATAAGTTATTATTAATACTAGCTTATTGGGCTAACAGTTTGAGCTAACGACGCTGTTTTTGCGTAGGCGTGTCAAGAGTTGATACGACCACACATCACGTCAGAATAACACATTTACAAAAGGTGTGTGAATCAGTATTTGCGTCAGCTTGTAACATGACACTGTAAATAGTGTGTAAAGTGTAAACGATACCTGTTCGCAGCAGCTGCCTCTGAAACCTCTCTGTGATGCGACGGGCGTCTGCGTCTGCGAAAAAAACTGTCTGTCGGCCAGAGACTTTCACAATAAAACTCTATAGATTCAGTATTATGAGTTATACGCTATAACTCATTTGCTCCGGTGGTGTGATTCATTTAAATCCTTAACGTGTGCTGCACATCTTCATTTCAGTGATTTTAAAATAAACACTATTTTAGTTTACAAAATGAATCGAAAGAAGTTAAAATGGACTCTTCGCATGAATCTTGTTATTCAGACCGGAAGCTCCGTTGTGTCGTCTTCCGTGTTTCTGCAAACAAGCTACGAAAGAAGTCAATGCTACATTCTTTAACAACCTATGGGTGGTAAAATTCCAAAATATGTACGCTGATGCAGTCCCGGGTAAGTTACAGATCCATTCAATAGTCAATAATAGTTCCACCAGTGTTGTGCTTACTGTATTCTCAAGTGCACAAACTCCTGTCCAATGTTTTGTTATTGTATGTGTTTTAAATAGTAGCCTACTAACTCTTTTGTGACCCCCTTTTAGCAAGTAATGTAATATAATATTCTGTACAACGTCATATGGCATAATGAAGAAAATAGAAAGTGCGTTGGTCTAATTTTAAAAGTGTAATGTATAGCATACAGTGCGAAAGCCTAGGTGTCCCAGGGCTTCTCAGTCCCACTCATTAGACAGTTTATTTTTCATGCACCAACCTAATTTGGCTACTACGTTTTTAAAAACATATGTTTCCATTAGAGACGTTTTTTATCATTATTTGTGAATTACTCAGTCAAGTCGTAACATTTGGTTGTGTTTTAGATGCAGAGTGCCGGCAGTCGTTGCAGCACTAGGCCCATTTCCCACAGTGTCTTGGCTGTGGTGGTGTGTCTTGCTGCTTTACTTATATGTAATGTCATCATCTACTTTTACCTGGATTCACTGTACAACAGTAATGGACAACAGGTGTCTTCTTCTCCTGGCTGCGGACCAGGATATTTCAAAATGGCCACCATGAAGAACTGCACTCCATGGCTCCAGTGTGCAGAAATAAATAATGAAGTGCGTAGGTTAAAACTTATTGGCCAAGGAGCAGTAAAGCAGGTAGCTATTTTTTGCATCATATCTCTGCTGTTATACCACTATTCAACTTTGAATAGCCAGTATATATACATACTCTTTCTATGTTCCCCTAGGTGTATTTGGCAGAATGGAGAGGTCAGAAGGTAGCTCTATCCATCCTAACTTCACCTAAATACTCAGAGGATTTTCTCCATGGTTTGTCCATGTTGCAAGCCCTGCAAGGTCCCAAAGTCGTTCAGCTGGTTGGTTTCTGTCTCCATGATCATTCCTCGGTGACAGAGTACCACCCTCTTGGCTCACTACTTAACTTGGATTCTGTGCTCTCACAAGTTCACTACCTTAAACACAACACATGGCAGGTGCGTCTCAGGCTGGCTATGGACTATGTCTCCATACTCCATTACCTCCACACAAGTCCTGCTGGGTGCCGTGTGATGTGTGACTCCAACAGTTTAGAGAAAACCCTTTCCCAGTTCTTGCTGACAAATGATTTACATCTTATAGTAAATGACTTAGATGCTCTGCCTGAAGTAGACAAACACAAGAATTTATTAGTAAAGTGTGGGCATCGAGAGCTATCTGGGGACTTTGTAGCCCCTGAGCAGCTGTGGCCTTTTGCTAAGGATGGCAAGCCCTTCTCAGATGATCTCATGCCCGGGTACGATGAAAGGACCGACATTTGGAAGATACCCGAAGTGACACAGTTCCTGATGGGAAGAGTACCTGGGGGCGATTTAGTTCACTTCCATCTTTTTCAAATCCATGAGGAATGCAAGAAAAAAGACCCAAGACTTCGGCCAGTGGCTCAGCAAGTTTTAAACGTGTACAAAACAGTTTACAGTAATATGGTGAGGGAGAGCTCAGGTGTAAGAGAAATGCTATGAAGTAAGATAACACAATGTTTTGGTAATTATAGATGAACAATGTTTAAATAAGTTTGGTATGTAGTCTGTTTAAATAAATACAACATACTGTAAACGGTAAAGACAAATTTTAATTAAAAAATACTCATTCACAAGAGCAACTTGGTTTAAAATGTCAGGACAGCACAAAGCTATGGCTCTGGGATACAGACTGCTGTTGGTTGGGAGTAGAAGAGAGAGAAAGAAAGAATAGTCACTTGTGTGAGATTGTGTTAATGTTTACAGCTGAATTTTTGTACAAATGTACAAATACCTTATAGTCAGCTGACTCCTGTACCTTCAGTTTTTGTAAAATTATTGTTGGATTGTTGCCAAGATGAAGAAGCTGGCTTCGGTAAAGATGAGCCCGTTTCTGGCACAGCCCCATCCTATTCAGCAGCATCAAGATGTCTTGGTGAAAGCCCTTGGTCAGAATGGCATAGAAAAAGGGATGTGTGCACGAATTGAGAGGATAGAAAAGCACAAGTAGCACCTGCAGCAACAAAGCAGTAGTAAATATGTAGAAATACATTTATGTTATGTTTTAATGTATGAGAAATCAAGTAACCTTGGAGTCAGTGATAGTAAGGAGTGGCTGATGCAGGGCTGCAGACAAACCATAGAAGCAGATTGGCACCAGACACAAAAAGTTTGTGAAAATGAGGATGGCCATGCGTTTTGCCATACCGGTGTCATATTTACTGGACTGGTGTTGGGGATTATGCACCATACAATAGATGTGGAGGTAACATAAACAAACTACCAGGAAAGAAGTGACATTCATCATGAGCACAACGACCACATAGGCCCGTGCAGCAGTGCTCCCAGTGTCCATGGGTAAACAAACGCTCACCTTTTGGTAACTGCTCACACCAACCACAGGCAGCAGGGCCACAGTCCCACATAGTGCCCAGCCTATGACCATCAATACTACTGCATGGCGTAGACGCATTTTATTGTCCAGCCTCATAGCATTGAATATGGCATACCACCTCTGAATACTGATTAAAGTTAGAGTATAGACAGAAAGCTCACAAGCAAACACCGATAGTGTTCCTGCAAGACTACAGCCAGCTCCATTTTGCCACACCATAGCATAGTGGTAATAATGAGACTGTGTGTAGATGTCCACAGACGCAATTAGGAGTAGGTATACTCCCATGCAGAAGTCTGCAAAAGCCAGTTGGCCCATTAAAAAACGAGTAACAGTTAACTTTTGCTGACTGGTCAAAAGAGTCAACATCACCAGTAGGTTGGCAGAGAGGGCCAAAAGACTGACCACCCAGACCAGTGGTCGGAGGAAGTTTTGGCTGATCACGTCTTCACAGGGGTTGAACAGATCAGGCACAGGCGAGCACACAAGCTCAGTATCAGCACCAACACTGTTACACAAAGCAAAGTTAAAACCCTCAGAAGGGCTTTCTGTAGGGAATTCCACATGAAAAAGAGCCTTGTCCTCATAGTCCACATCTGAACAAACAGGAACATTGGACATATGTGCTGATTGTAGGTCATCAAAGTCGTAGCTCTCTAACAGAGGGGAGGAGGAGTCTCGAGGCTTCGTCAGTGTGCTCTTTGAAAGGTTGCAAATAGTCATCTCTGCGAGTCTTGAAAAGAGAATTACAAAATAAAGTTTGTAGGAGTTGTTCTAGATTTTTAAAATGATTAGAAACTAGATTTACATAGCCCCCTAGCTGTGTTATATCTAACGTCTATAGCTAAAGTAAGTTGCCATTCCTGATTGCACACTAAAAACACTTTTTCTTCACTGCTCCTTAGTTTTTCTCTACTCACCCCCTCCATCTCTTCAACATTTTTAGACCACAACAATGACTTGGGTAGGTCAATTCAGCATGTTGTAAATGGATGAAGGTCCTAAGTGGAGGGAGCACTTTGAGAGTCCAAGTGTTTTTAGCCTGAAGCTTTTCAATGGCTTCCATACCTATTGAAGGCAGGGACTGCACTTTAGTTTCTGAAATGTCTCTGTAAAACAAATAAGGAATCTGCATGTATGTGTTAAGAAGCAAATTTGTTCAAGCCGATGATATAGGCACTAGTGGCAAAACTAGTATTAATGAATATGTTGTTTTCACTTACATATGAGTTGGGCCACAATTCACTCCATGAAAAGCAAACTTGTCTATTTGGTCCATATACATATTCCTCTGGAGATACCTGCATAAAAAAGAATAAAATATACATCAATTACAGATATTTTATAAAAGGCTATTTCAAAGCTTTTAATGATGCATTATGCAGCACTGGAAACATACACTTCTTCGAGACAACTCCCATTGAATGCAAAGCGCTGGATCTCTCTTAAGCCGTTACTATGGAGCATTCTAAAATGTAAACAACCTGTATAGAACTAATGATACAGACATAATAGTCCTTTATAATAGCAACACGTTTTACACTTACACAATAAGACTCGCTGAGATTCCACTCAGAGCATTAGCAGGCATAACTTTAACAAGGGCATTCTCGACAATCTCCCTGAAAAAAAAGTTAACAGTTGATAATAAGATAACGTCATAAAAATTTTGTAAATCACCTGGAAAAAAATACAGACAAAACAAAATCGTCTTGAAATGAATGGATATGTTGCAACTCGGGGAATGTTCTGATACCAGTATTGATGATCCCACTGTTAAGAGAACATGTGCAAAATAGTTTTTATTTGACACAAACAATAACAAATTAAAATAAAGTAGAAAAAAATGCTCACAGGTACTTCAGATTTGGCAGATTCTTGAATGCTTCACAGTCAATAAAGTCTAATGTTTTTATGCTGGTGAGCTGTCTGTAAGGAACAATGAAAACAAATTATTATAAAAAATATGGAAATTGTTTGCTACATCTCCAACTTTTGTTCACTTACATGTGCCTGACTCTGGGCAAATTGTAGAAAGAATGTCTCTCTAGATATTCTAAAGAGTTGTCATTGGATATGTAACTAAAAATGAGGAAAAGAGGCAATGCAAATGTGAAATGACATTGTAGCTTATGATATTTGATTAAAAGCAACATATTGCATTAGAGAAAAAATCAAAACAAAACAAAAAACACCATATCAATGAAACAAAGTTTTACATGTGAGAGATGTTGAGCAGATGAGCAAAAGCATCCTGGGGTACAAATACGAGTTTTGTCTCCAGAAGCCACCTGAGAAAAGATGAGAACAAGTCCACTGATAAAAGCAGAGCAACTGTCGATGTGTGCCGGGGTGTGTGTTACTTACAGCTCCTGAGTGCTGAGGGGGAACCTCGGCATCACGTCTGATCCAAAACATGCCACGCTCTGAATATCCCAGTCACACTGACAGGACGCAGGACATTTTTCCAAAGCAGCTCCAGCCACTGTTGTGAATAAAATAGAAAAATACACATTGAAATAATGGGCCATTGCTTCTGCATGTGGCCAGAAAAGCATGCCTAATAATACTGGGCATGTGGAGTGTCCTCTGGTCCACAAAGACATAGGCCTTTAGTCTGCTGTTTCAAAATAAAAGCATAGGAAACTAGCCAAAATATAAGAAGTAAAACACCTAAAAACAACACCATCTATTTAGTTATTTACGTAGGCTCTGTTCCAAAAAGTAGCTTCTAAAAATCCCAGTAGAGGGCAGTGTCTGAATAATTTCTTCAACATGTACTGCATTTTTTTTTTTATTCATAGAAACCATACAGTCTATGACTGAAATATGGTCCATTTGCATCATAAAATCTTAGACATGCAACATCTAATCTCTGATAATCATCTCATCATGTTATCTTTGGCTTGTCTCATTTCTCTTTGCAGCTTAGTTAGTATGTTGTTGACCAAATACTTAAAGGTGCCGTTTCATGTTACTGTATAGCATTCACCTATTTCATTTTGCATTTATTCAATTACAGGTGTTTTCATCACTCAAAAATAATGTGAAAAACACATTCTGAATGTGAGCTGTAACTTGGCTTGCTGGCCTCAGCTGTCTCCATGGATATAGAAAAGCATCATGTTGGAACATTCTAGGCAACATCTCCATGAAGACAAGCAGCTGGTAGACCCTCCATCAGAAAAACTACATAGTGCACTTTTACATGGAGGTAATTTCTTTACATAATATCATAACTCAGGTGGACGTAGTCCATTTTAATACAGACATTTTGCTAAGGTTGTAGGTTTGCTTGTCTTTTGTTAATGGCTTTCTATTGGGCTGTGTTTGTTCTTTACAAAGCCACAGCAGCAATCTGAGATTGAGGCCGTAATTACTTCAGAGTAGATGTGATGTTCTGCAGTAGCACAGGAAACATGTGGCTTATTATTAGAAGGGCAAAATGGAGTCGCCAACACATGAGATTGGATTTCACCTTGGAAACAGCCCCTGCATCACCTGGTAGTTCAGATCTCAGTCCTGATTAAAGCTGGTCATGTTCCCCACATTTAGGCCTACATATGTGAGTTTCACAAAACATAGTAAAATAATTATATTTAAGACTGTATTAAGTCTGTGCTAAGTCTTATCTAGTGCTCCTTATTTAACAATTTTGACGAAACTTATAATGTTTAATAATAAATAATAATAACAAATAAGTTTGCTGCAGCAAACTCTCTCTCTTTCCTTCCTAGTTGAAAATGTAGACATGATATAGGCAGCAGTATCCTCTGACCTACCCAAGTGTAAACAAGGGTCAAAGCTAACCAAATTTATACAATAATTATTATTTGATTGCTAGTAATGTTCCCAAATTAATGTTTAAACTGTATTTTGCATATACTGTATCTGCAGGTGTATACATTGGCAACCCAGATTCACTTGTTATTGTTATTTTATAATACAAATTTAAATAATTAATCATTAAATGTCATGATTGTTTCATGTTAAAAAGTGAAAAAGTGTAAAATTATCATGAAGTAGTACCATTCTAGGCTGTGCAGTAGCCAGCTGACCTTTACTCAAGGGGGACAGATTACTATGTGACAGTGACAGAAGAAAAGATGGATCAGAATGAGGATACAGAGGCTGCTTAAGCATGCTATTATAAACATATCATTTATTTACTGAAGGGGTAGGCTTTTGTCAAAGACAGATGAGTGCTGTTTCTTGCTGTGTGCTCAGGCTAGCTCTATAGGTTAAAAATGGGACTCAACCTGTGTGCAATAACTTTGAGAACAAGAGATGGTATCTCAAAATGATGTGACAGTGTGATAGTATTACATAACTCCATGGTTGTATCATGTTAAAACATGATACTGTTGATTTACACATTGGCAACTCTCCGCCTCCATACAAACAGGTTATGTGCTTCTCAAAACATGCAACATGGTGGAAAGATGGCGCACATTTTTATTTTTAATTTATATTGTAGGAGTAGGTGTGAAAAGAACAAGAACAAAGGAAACTGTTTATAGTGAGTTTGTCACGCATTCAAACGCTCTTCGTTTAAAATCAGATTGAGCAGTCCCACCTGAGGACAAAGCCACATGAATACAAATACACTTGGCCATCAAACAGAGCAAACAGTGCAGATGGAATAAACAGGAAATGGTCATTTATTCTGTTTACTGACCTGGACTGAGACACCAGCAAACCATGACGCCAAAATAGAAACATTTAGGCTACAATTGAATATTTGGACTGTTAGGGAGGACATTTGTCTGTCTGGGGGGCATGTTCATGTGGACTAGACTACGGTCCCAAAGAAGAAACAGACAAAGTGGTTTAAACAAGGACAGAATCATACTGTTGTAGAAGGTGAATCAACTTAGAAGGTAATAAAAGTCCTTTTCATGTATGTGGTTAACTTCATGTGCCCTGGCAGCTCCCACTGCACATAGAGCATACAAAATACACAGTGCAGGTGGAGTGAACACAGTATCTGCTTTTATTTTATTTTTTTTGCGTTTATGTATTCATGATATAAAGTAGTAAAAAGTGTCATGAGTGTTAATTCATTCCTGGGCAGACCGTGTTTCTTGATCAAGTCTCTGTTGTGTGAGAGCACCCTGGTTTAATATAATGCAAGTAAATATATACTTGTACAAAAATGTATTTTTCAGCAACTGTATTTGGTATATTTACTCATTTTGGGGTATTCATTTACTTTCCTAAGATCACATTACAGTACTTGATCACACAATTCAAGCTGCACAGAAGCAAATAGACAGTTCTTGTGGTATGTGATTTTTCTTTTTCTTATCAAATAGCAGAACAATCTGTTAATCAGTCACTTTTTAACACTATATAATGCAACTTAAATGTAAAAGTATCCCAAGTATTAAGAATAAAGTACTCTGATTAGACCATGTAATGAAATATACGACAAAAGACATTTTAAATATTGCCTTTATTATTATTATTTTTTAATTCAAAACAAAACAAGTATTTTTTACATCACCGTGTCATGTCTGTGCAGCTATATAAAGGTCAAATGTGTGAAGTCTCAGATGGCTCCTGTCACAGAGCACAGAGAGACGTGTGAAGCACTAAAACAATTTACTTACAACCCAAGGATGAACAAAGGACTGAGGGACAGAGGAAGGACAAATAAAACAGGGCAATCAAAACACATTTCATCTTTGGGTAAACTAATATGAACAGACACACATGCTCTGGTCATAGTCTTATTGTCATCAGTATTAAGTAAGTGTTGCTGAAGATTTTGAGAAGCTGTATAGCTCAGAAGAACAGTTGTGTTTAAAGACCTCTATGCAGAGCAGCATTGGGACAAATCAAATGTGTGACTGTGTCTCTGTGTGTGTTAGAGGCATTTCCATGTCTGAAGTTCAATTATAGATTCTGTTATTTAAAAGAGTGCATTAGGGTTTAGTGCTAAGCAACACTGGGCTGATGTTGTACAAACAGTGTTTTAATGTCCACCAGAGACAGAGTAATCCACTGATTTCACATGCTCATATGCAGAGCGCTGATGAATTATGCAGGACATAGGTTCAGCAGGATCAGTCTATTCTGGATGAGGGGATATTTCTCTCCTTTCTCTCACAAATGTTAATGACACAACTCATTTCCATTGCGACAATGCTAGAGCGTCTCTCTGGCTCATGATGAGAAGTGAACACAGAAGGTCTGGTAGGACCTGAGTGGTTCAACATGTCATAGGCAAATGTAGGGTTAATCTTTATCTCATTCATAACACTCATAGTAGACTTTCCGTTGTATACTATGTGTATACTATATGTGCACATAAGGTAATAAAGAAAATAATATTTCAATAAAGACAGAGATCCAAATTACGATAACATGGCACATGAGATGAAAAGCTGGAACTTTCAAATATTTGCAAAAAGACTAAGCACGCTACACACACGGAAACATGGATCAGGGAAAGGCAAAAATAAAATATTCACAAACTCCAAGGATCACATCTCCATGGGAACTGCTGCCCAAGTTGTGAGTGGATGTGGCAGAGGTTCAAGTGTGCTGTCTGGCACGGGGTTACAAATTCAGATAAAAACAAAAGTTTCATCATTATATACTCTGGTTCACAAGCTGTCGACACATTGCAAAGTTTAAAAAAGCTTTTATCAAAGTTACCATCAAAGTTGCTTTGAAATGCTATTTACTGTGATATACCACACATTTTCTTTTGCATAACAAAAGTTGCTATTTACTTCTAAAAATCGGTGGCATCTGTTTTAAGAAATTCTGAGAGAATGAGTGTTTTTTTTTTAACCAAGGATACTTTGCAGAGATAGAAAGTCATAGTCTTAAGAAATGCTAGCATTAGCAGGCCTCTGTTTGTCATGAACGAGGAGCACAGGTGCTTCTGGCTTTTGTGTGGCTCCATGTTTAATCAATGTCTTATTAGACTGTGAGGCTTTAAGGTTTTTCAGATGAATGTTGCACACACAGCATAGCTTCACATCCTGTTTACAGGACAGTGAAATCTGCTTATCACTCCATTACCATTGAGAATGACATGAAAACATAATGATTTTCCTGCATGAAAATTCAGATGGACCGTTCTCAGCAGATGTAACAGTTTGGGCACCACTTGTTTAAGGTTTTGCATTAGATTAAAATACAGGAAAAAAAAAATCTTCACTTGGCCATTCTTGCATCTGCATATAATGGTGTTAGAGGAAGTTGTTTAAATTTGATCTGGGAACTTGTTGCCCCAGAGCCCCTCCTGTGAGCTGCATGAGGAGGGTCACCACCAGATGTCACAGGTGACAGGCTCCACAAGCTGCAGCCTCTCTCACTCTGATGTGTGACAATCTTATCCTTTTAAGGAGGAATTAGCTCCATACGACACCGCTCATCTGTCAACTTGCAGAAAAGGTCAACCCGGTTTAATGGATTTGTTGAAATGATTTTCCAAAATGTCACAATAACAAATAAGATATAACATATATA